ACCCATCAAAATAACGGTTTGCGATTGGTTAGTATTCTTGCGATGCCAAACTGCTCACATGAAAAGCTTACCTCGCAGCAGTATAGATAAACAAAACGACCGTAATGGCTGGGGCGATGACATGAAAAATCACATGTTTCTAAAAATGCCCGCAGAGTCGCTTGCCTTAGTTGGACACATTCCCTTTAATTGAAAAATTCATAGTTTTCGGCAAAGTCAGCCAAAAAACAATCATCTTCATTTCTTCCTTTCACTTAAGGTATTTTGACTGCCATTATGTAAGAAGAGAATGAGAGGTCAAAGCAACAATACACTTTACCAGCAGCTCAACAAAATGAGCAATACTCAAGAACCTTGTTACTATTTTTGATCTTCTAGTGTTATCACCTTGCTGAAATAGAACATCACTATCACCATCATGTAAACACTGATCAAGAAACCTTTTAAGTACAGACGTCCCTGAACAGTTGCCTCGTCTGTGAGCTATACATTGCTTACTGTCCTTGCAGCAGACAGTCATGTCTATCATATCTCTGTATGTCTTGTTAATGGCAACTGGAATTAATAAATTTTGATATGTAGTACACCCACAAACAGACTTTTTACAATCAGTTTGTTACACTTAAAGATGAAAAGATTGTTTTCAAGTAATTTTCTGATGACAGAGACTTTGCCGGAAACTTTGCTTTTCTTTCTAAGAAGGGAGAGAATGGCATTGGGACTCGATTGATAAAGTATGTTGCTTGCCTATATGACAATGACGGGTGGGTTTCTATGACATTAATGAAGATGAAGGGGACTTTCAAATGAACTTCATGCACCCACCTGAACCCACTCAGAACTTTACATGATCAAGCAGATCACACATATGCTGGGTATCACATTTACATGCTTTGCAAAACTGATTCATCCAAAACAGTTACAGGTCAAACTTAGAGCTTCAGCTACAGTGACAATAAAGCAGTATCTCAGCTTGTCCATGGCTAGGAATCATTTTTAATTATTCTTTGTTGTCTCTGAATGTGAAATCATGATTGACTCAATGTTTTTAGCAGCTATTTTTTATTTCATGCAATATTACCTTAATTACAAATTTGTTTTTGCTCACGATTCTTGCAAAATTATACCCATTTTGTAAGGTGCAATTAACTCAAAATACTTCAATTGCAATTGTAATCTTAAACATTTTCTGATAGCCCAAAGAATACACTTTCAGAATATAGCAAGCTTCTAATGCTATGATTCCAGCTACAGGACTTTTTTTCAATATTTATATACATCGGTTGGGAATATTTTCAAAACAAGTGATAACCTTTAACGTATGAGTATCTGCTTCACCTTAGAAAATTGTCAAATTCTGATGCAATATTTGAAATCTACAGTATCAAATCAATAATTGACATTATTTTCAAGCAAATATTGACAACTATAGAAAAGTTACAGCTATTGATAGAAAGCCCCGCCCATCGCTTGGTAAACTGGGTGTGGCATATTTGGCTAAAACGGGTCACTTTTGAAACGGCTACAAAATCGCAACCGTAAGAGATATAAGGATGAAATTTTGTATGTACTGTTTTCTCCAAAATGGCTCTTTGTGGTAAAAAAATCAGGAAATTCTAAGACCATGGGTTACAAATCTTAAAAATATCTGATGATTTGATATGGAATGACCCATAAGTATTTTTAAGGGACATGCATAAATAAAGATTTGTGCATTATTTGCACAGTCTGCTCCATTTACTTCTCTCAATTTTGTTTCAGAGAGAAGTAAATGAAGCCAACTGATTTGGTCTAAATTCACCCTGGTAGCAAGGGCTTGAAAAAATTTTCTTCTCCCTAAAATTAAAGAAAATGATGCATAAATCTCCTGCAGGAAAGGTATGTAAAGGAAATAATGGCCCGGTTTCAACAACTTTACTGATGCGTTTCCAGGTTTATGTAAATGAAAGGAAAAGCTGCTTTTATAAAGGTTCAAGCAGTTTTACTACCACTACAAAAATAATTTCTGTTTTGGTGACTGAGAATTATTCTTCATTCATGAACACCAAAATAAATCTGGAATAGGGTCTTAGCTAAGATATTAATCTTCTAACTGGTGCAGTGGTGGCTGGCACCCAAATAAATGTTGTATTAGAATGTAATGACAAGTGAAACAATGTGGAAAAACAAAGTCACAGTAAGCACTGCGCAAAATTCATACTTTAAGGGTTTTTTATCTATCTGACGATAAAAAATATCGAAACAGTCGGATAAGTCATGCCACTGCGTATTCATTAAATTGTTTCTGTCCAGAGAGCTATCCCTATATTATTTGCTAAACCTACAAAAACACGTGAATTTTTTATATTTTTTTTCAACATCTTAAATCTTGCAGGTGAGATGGTTCCTTTCATGTTACTAAAAATGTGGTTGTGCCTCTCCACTTCTCTTTTCCGAGTTTCATCCAGATCGCACGCAAAATGGATTATTTTATGCACTACCCTTTCGCTAACGGCCTGTGGGCTAGGTACTTGTTGTTAGGGTCGCACTGGTGCCATGATAAGCCGATGCAAAATGGCTTATCAGCCTCTGTTTGTTCCTTAAACCCTGGTGTATTAGAAAACTCATCTTAATACATCAAAAGGAAGGGTTTCACAATTTATACATAATTTTCTTTTGCCATTTGCGTGGAATCAACCACTTCATAATAAAATTCAAAACAAGAAGGAAGATTTGTGTTAACTTAAGGGGAACAACTTTGTTTTGATTCAAAATTACTTGAAAAAAATTAAAATTATGTAATAAAATACACTATTTCTGAAACCAAGATATCTTGCTGAAACCAAAGATGACTTTAAAAGAGCGCAGTCATTTGCTTTTTTCGTCAACACACATTTATGAAAAGGGTTTGTAGGCAGACTCAGAAGTTCTGTATTTCAAAGTGACTTTTTGAAAAGGTCTTAAAACCAAACAGAGAACGCTTCAGTGACTCGCTTCTTGTTGAAATGCGGTACCGCTTTCTCAGAGCTGTAGTTCCAGTGTATTAGAAAACGAGATTTAATACATTCGCTGCACAGGATAGGTAGCACAAAAGAATAGACATCACATAGAGCTCTCAAACACAAAGAGATTTTGAGGGGTTGTATTGAAAAAAAAGATCTAATACATTGACGCCGCTCGGCAGTTTCACAGGGGCCATACTTCTGTTAATCACATTGATCACCACCAATTCAATACGGCACAATTGATTCATGTCAGTTGTATTGTGCTTGAATGCTACGCAATTTTATTTTTGTAAGCGCCTCATTTAATAAAGCACACAAATAAGAAAATAGAATTTCTTGATTTCAATGAACTAACAATGAACCAGTGCAATTCAAAAATTTTATGTATTAGACTAATACATTGAATACATTTGCGAGCCGCCACTGAACTGGTGAGAATATTCTTAAGCCAGATGAAAAATTGTAAATTTTTATCAGACAAATATTTTCAAAATTTTTTTCAAGGGTCCTTAGGTAGAAAAATCAATTTAACCAATACAAGGGAACTACTAAGGTAAATTATATACTTTTGTCTTTGTGTTTTTTCCTTTTTATGAACATGTTATGCATAAAAAATATCCTGTGACTGCCTGGTGGCATGGTCAGGTGGGCTTTTATGCCCTGTTGGTAGTTCTTTTGCAATAATTTTCAAATCGAAACCTATAAATTTTCACTTTTATGTCTTTAGCCAAGAATACACTGGAACAACTATGATATGTATTATGAATATATACAATTTTTGTCTAAAATATTGCACTATGTCAATGCGGTAAATATTCCCTTTGTTTGACTCAAGCACTTGTGCTTGAATGCACCAAATTGGAGAATAAGAAAATTAACCTTGGCATATAAGGATGCATTTGCAAGGCTTAACTGGTTGTCTTCTTTCTGAATTTTTAATGCGCGTATGCTATTGTCTACATGCAGAACACATGTGCAATCAGGGCAATGTCAGAAATTGAGGCAGATAAGACATCTTAGTAGAATTACAGCATGTACAAAAGACTAAGCAAAATCAATTACCTAATCTTTGGAAATATATCTCTGGAGGGCTTGAAAGATTTTGTCAGTGGCAAATTATATGTGTAAAATGTAGGGAAACAAAAAAATTTTAATTGGTATCCAAGTATACTCAGTCAGGGTTTAGAGAACTTGTCTTTTCCAAATAAAGTAAAATTTACAATATGAGTTCAAGGTAGTGATCAACACGAACATCTGTCAGAACTTGATTGTCACAAACGCAGAAATTATACTTCTCAAATGCAGGGATGTTCTATTTTTTGGTATTTTACTTATGTACAACAAATTTAATGAACCAGGTAAATGCATTTGACATCACTTAGGCCATTCAGATTTATCTCAAAAGAATTCATAGTAGACTTAATAATTCAACAGGAAGTCACTTGGTTCATTTGAACTTGTAGTATCCGTATTTCTTTAATAAATGGTATCAATAAAACAATAGGGTTAGCAATTACAAAAAATTCAAGGAAATGTCGTTTCCACACAAGCACAGAAAATATTTCCCTTTGCAACATAAGGTTAGGTCTACTTCAGAAAACCACTATTTCTTTGCTAAGGATCGTTCTTCGAGTGCTATGTCCACCACAAGCTAGTTTTAAGTTAGTGGGAAATCCCCAAAATTATTGATAGGATATTGCATTCTCTAAATTTGTTAGCCATTGCTAAAGTTGGCAAGCGCGGGCCTAGGACGTCCTTTGATCGTGGATAGGGACTGGCTAACATCAACGTTCGTGATAATGGAATGGCTACTGCATGCTTTTGAAAAAAACGTGAAGAACGGACATTAAATTGCTTAAATTGAAAGTCAACAATTGGAGGCTTTTGTTCACAGAAGAAAAGCCAGAAAAGTTCCCCCTATTACGACACGATGCTCAGTCTTCTTTGCGGAAACCGTTCAAAAACCACACTGAAATCCTCACCCAAAACCCCTTACAAACTAACTAAAAAGTTTACCTTGGTAATTCTCTTTAAAGCCATGATAGCTGCTGACTTCTTTATTCGTGATAAGTACACTGGACAAGCCTAGAATTGACGGCAATCTAGCAGAATCTCATCCCAACGCCTCACTATCAGATTGAGTCAGTGTGCAACACTTCGCCTCGAGTCGTGGCCAGGCCCCATATATTACGCATGCGTACAGCTTGAGAATGAATAGAATACAACGTCATGCTGATGTCATTTCCTTGCTTGCTTTGGATGAACACCATTTAGAGTTAAATGAAATGGGTTGGGTGCCTAGAACTTTATGAAAAAAGATAGTCAGAACTACTAGCATGTCCCTTACACACAGGAATTGGAAATTTGATGTTTTTTTCGTGGTTCTGATTCATGTTAAAGATGTCGAGAAAACTTGCATCGATGGCAGGGTTGTGAAATCGAAAAATTTTCATCTTTGATCGCTGAATATTCAACATTAGCTCAGTTATTCTACACAAAACTTTAGACAGGGGTTATTCTAACGTGGTTTTGTTACCATTTTGTGGTATTGTAAATTTGTTTTGTGGTGTTGTGATCTCAATTATGTGGTGTTATAAAAATATCGACCATCTGGATTGAATTTTTGCAGAATGTAGGAATCGTTGGGAAAAACAAAAGGAATTTCAATTTCAAACACCAAATCAAGTAAAAAACCTAAAATAAAAGAAGAATTGTAGTAAAAAGTCAGTCAGGCCTCAATCTTAATTTTTTTTTACTTTTGATATCTGCAGTTTGTCGTCCTTGTCAAGTTCGTTCAAGGTAACATTCACTGCATCTGTGTACATCCCTGGCCCCTTGAAACCAATCCTTTTCCCTTTCTTTGCTTGTTTTCGCCTTCTCTCTTTCGATTCCAGTCATTCAATGACACACGGACTAGGGTTTCACTTTTCGACTACTGACATATTAAAAAAACATGAGGCTCAAATTCTGTGAGGCAAAAGCGAACTGCATCTGCATCAAAAGCTGTTGCTAAATATTTATGAGGAACACGTCGTTCGCATCCTCGTGAACTGTGATTCCCTTTAGTTAATCTTGAGATGTGTCAGTTGCAATTCCGATTCCTCAACCAATCAAGCCAAAACGACTTGTTGGAAGGCATTGGTTTTTCATGGCATCGCTCCCCGCTTTGACATCAAGAATAGTAATAGTATCGCTTTGAATTAACTCAAATATCTCTTGATAGGAAAGGTTGCTCTTCTCTGTCAAGGTCTTGAGATAGCCTTCATATTTTTGCTTTCGAATGAGTTTGAAAGTCGTCTGGGCTGTTGCATTCCCAGATGTCAAATGCAAACAAACAAGCTCACAAAGATACTTTGTGAAGCTGACTTGAAATAATTGTGGCTTTGGTATCTCTTGTATCTCTTAACTGCTGGCTTTTGGTCTTCCACAACTTTTCCTCGCTGTCATGTCCGTACACCTCGCCATACACCTGGCGCTTGGGAATATGCATGGGATAAAACACCACCACCCTCTATTTTTCAACGTTTTGATCCAAGGCACATTTCTCATCGAAAAGATTTAAATTCCACAAATAAAAGCCTTTACACAATTTAAATTCGATCTCATCGAATTGTCTTGAATAGCTATCTCAATTGACACAAAAAAAGCTATTTTAGAATAAAACACAATATTCTTATTCACACAGTGTTAAACCTGGGTCCTTTTTTTAAAGAACAATTGAGTGAAATTGGAGATTTCTCCACGGCACACCAGATATTATCTCACGGCAGACTAGTGTGCCGCCGCATAGTGGTTGAAAAAACAATGTCCTTAGTTAAAAGAAGTTTTCCTTAGTCAAGACTTACTTTTTTAAAAACCAGTGGTTCTCAAATCCTCGTTGTTCCAGTTGCTCTTGTCAAGAGTAGAATTAAATGATAAAAAAATTTCCAGCCCTTGAATTTGGGGTGTTGTAAATTTTCCTTAAAATAACCCCTGCCTTTGAATCTTAACAATTGTAAATTATTTTTTAAATGGAATTCAATTTCTTCCTTTCAAATTACTGAGGACATCTAAAAGTACGTGACCAAAACAGACAATTATCAACTGAATTCACATCAGAAACGATCAAATTTATGCGCCAATCATAACAAGGGGAAGCCAATCATAACAAGGGGAAGCCAATCATAACAAGGGGAAGGACTGGAGGGAGGGATTTGGAAGAGATGGAAAGATCAAGACTGTTGTTTCACTCGTTCGTTTCATTTACTCTGATGAAGCCCTGAAGCCGTGAACATTTATCTCACAACATTGGATTCTCGTCGCCGTTTTGCTTTGTTTCTGAATATTATCTTTGTTGATTTTAGTCACAAATAAAGACAGGATATAAGAGCCCGGGAAGCAAAAAGGGGTAGAGTGTTCCAAAGTTTACAAGATCTTGATTCTTGGCCGGATCTCGAGAGGAAGGATGAGTTGTAGAGTGGGAGGGCAGGGTTCATGAACTTGGCAAAGATACTTCAAGAAGGTGAGCTCTGGAAATATATCTTACCTTTGGACAGCCTGCGTGACAGATCAGACTGAAAATGGATATCACCAACAAATCTTTGCTAGGCCGAGCTTACACACGGGAAAAGAGCAAAAATTCTTACCTTCACTTTCCACGTTACAAATTGGCCCCCTTTCAAAGAAACAAATCCTTATGCTTATTTTTACTGTTTAAAGGCTGTTTTAATGACGTTTTACCACCTGTTAAAGACCGTCTTTTATATAGCGTATTCTTCGGCGAAAAAAGCTCCTCACCTGAATGCTATTACAACGGCTTTACCCAGCACTATCTGGTCGCTTCAATGAAGAAAAGTAGAAAAATATTGACTAGTCTATCCGCCTTTTTGTTTTTCAACGTTCCTGTTTGTAAAATAAATGCAGCTTAATGAAACTTCATTCTTACAGATTCAGCATATTAATTTTCAATTATTTTTGTTAGTAAAGCTGGGGAGGTTGGCTTAAACGCTCCGTTGAGTTTTTTCAAGTATCCCAAGGAACTTAATTTTTGATTGTAATTTGAATGGAAAAAGAATAGAGACCTAACGATTATAACAGAGAAAATTATAAATTGAAATTGCCAGTATAGAAAGATATTCTCGCAGCTTTATGGTGTATTGGTAGACTCAATGTACTTTGGCATGAACAAAGTGCAATTGTACTTTGTTGGAATACTCCTATCGATACGAGAATATGATAATCCTGTAGAGATTATGAAGCAAGACAGAGATTATGAGATTCTTTCTGGACAAACAATGTGAAACGTACGACCGCTCTACAAACTTGATGTATTTGATTGTATACTTCCATTATTGTTATCCTGCAGAGAAACGTTTGGGATTAGGTTCTTGAGGTCAAAAGTGAACACATATATTTGATTTTTCTGGGCCTTTCTTGCAAGCCATGAAACGCTGCCTTACAGCCTCAACATAGGCCTTAAAATTATCTATGCGTAAAGCAAAACCCCAGTATAGAGCAGAACTGCACTTTCTATGCAATGAAAGTACGTAAGGCTGCATAGGTTGGTATTTGTGCAACGCAAACTGCTAGCAGTGAGCAGAAAAATTCTTTTAGGCACTGGAAAGTCTGTCCCAGAACTGCCGTTTTCTTTTCAACTTTTCTCTTAACAATTCTTGCAAACGTTTCTTCTGAACATTATAAACGGGAAAAGTTCGGGTTGCTGCAAATGTGAACAATTTTACTGCTAACAGGAAAATAGAAGCAATGAAATAAATGAAAACGCAATAATTTCGATTGAAAACTTGCACGATAAGGCTTTTTTACTAGAAATGACAGAATATAAGCATATTAGCTGAATTTTTATAATTTACTAAATATACAAAGATCTTTGAGCGAATTCCCAACTTTAAAACTCTTTGATTACACATTTTATTGGCAATTAAAAAGAAACAAGTAACATTTTCTCACCTATATACAAAGAAGGCCTGATGAACTACAAAGACTATCATTAACTTATTAGGAGAAAAATGTCACAAAGACGTGGCAAATAAAAGAAGGAGATCTTTCAAATTTAATGAATTATTTATAAACATAGACAAAACAATAATTACAAATGGGTTTTTTGCCAAATTAAAAGGCAACAAGATATCTGCTTGATGCAGAAATTAGTTTTCCGACTTTCCTTAAGTCAAATTACTCAATAAATAACAAAGTATAAAACGATACATAGCTTCTTGAAAATTGCCTACAGAGTGTTGCTTAGGTTGCCAGAATAACTCCTAGAGCATATGACATGAGCAATAAAGAACTAGTATTAAGATGTGGAATATAGCTAAGTCAAAGCTCATGGGAACGCCCGGTATTAAATAACTGCTCTGCACCACAGGAAGTAGATAAAGTATTTGAAAAAATGGTATTCACATCACTGCCTGCCAATTAAATAAGGCTTAGCCTGGCATCAGTTGAAAAAGAACAATTCTAATCACTGAAATTGTTGTATCTCAAACCAAGTAACCATACAGAGTGGAGGCATCTAGGGGCAAGGGCATCGCCGATGTAGAATTCTGACAACAATTCTGGAAGACCATATCAATCATTTAGCCATGGATACAAACACGAAATAAATAAGTAACTAAAAGAACTGAACCACATGAGAAATTCAAGGATCACAAACTAGACGGAAAATATTTAAAAGCAAAGTTTGAATCATTTGCGTAACCTAAAGAGTGACTGTAAACATTTACTAAGTTTCGTTAGCTGGCTATAAAAAATTTGATAAATTCAAATATTTAGAAAATATTACCCCTAAGAATGAGCGAAGACCTTTCACAAGAGAGAACATTGTAAGACGCTTTGACAACCCACTGGCATATCAAATGTATGGAGGTAAACAAGTTTCCATGAAAGGAAGACAACATTTGGCCATAAGGAAAGCAGCTTCCCTTACAATCTTCCTGGTGCCGTGGAAACTGCAAGCAGGCACTGGAGCCTTGTTAAGTGAAGAATGGTGCGTACTGACTTGATGTGACTGCATCTCCAGTCATGAATTGAGATTCAGTCAACAACTATTAAATAACTTTAGAATGATGTGAATTCACGATGGCGTTCGTTTAGCACAGGTTACACAACAAAGTTTTCTATATGACGGATATCGGCAATATGTGGTAGGAACAACGACGCACAGAGGAGACCTTTCAATACATGAAGCTGAAATTAAAAACAAAATAAAATGAATGAAAATATTACTTGTTATCAACATTAAGCAAACAACTGACTAGCGTACCATCCGTTTAGAATACTGGCAATAGTACAAAGACGGATGTCAATTTGCTGTATTTTAAAAGGCTTTCTGCGCAAAACACAGCAAGAGCATTGTATCTAAGATGCTAAATATTGCAAACCATTGTTTGTCTTTCCTGAAATCAACACTTTGCATAGACGTTCGCTCTATCTTCTTTAAATGAATCTACAGTGCCTACCAAAAGTACTTGGAACACCCAGCAATTTACGCTGCATTTGATATCTTTTATTCCTTTCATGAAAAAAATTACTATTTCCGCCCGCTTCCCCCTTAAACAATGTTGATAAATTAGAGAAATATCATAAAAGAAGCGCAAAAGAAAGTGTTTCCTAAAATCCTAACCCGTTCGATAGTAAACAAACAATGTTCTGTCGGGGAGAGGGGGATGATTGATTTGGATCTTGGAAATTGACATCAGTGTTCCAGGACATTTTGCAGGCATTGTACGTTTTTTCAACTTGAATTATTGGCAAAAGCATTGAATAAAATATATCAAAGTTCGAGATGCAGAAAGGAGCAAACATTTTATATTCCTAGCATTAGACTGCTTTTAGTAATATGTTCAATTATTTCTTATTTTCGTCATCTTATTATATCCAAATCGCTGAATATCAACACTCTACTGTCCACGGATACAAAGGTCTATCTAAGAAGATTATTTCGGACAAAACAGCACAAAATTGTCGATGCGAAATAGAGAGAAGACCTGCGAATCAGTCACACAAAAAATCATACACTTATTGAACTATACCTTGGCATCCTTCTGATGAAAATTTGAAATCATCTAAGCCAATATCACTTAAGAATGAAGTCCCCTTTTCGCCAGTTATTTTGATCTAAGGACAGTAAGAAAATATAATACGAATAAGCAGACGAAAAATCAAAGATACAGAGCACATAAAGATACTCAGGGGGGCTGCACTGAGTGTAGATGTATTTAGCAAACCGAATTTCCACACAGTATATCACTTGCATACAACATACAAACTGCGATTCATTAATGTATATTTCAAAACTTATAATGTTTTAGACAATGCAAAAGTTGAAAAAATTTGTACCATGAATCCTTTGGGCGTGTTTCGAGGAACTTGAATGTTGGCTTTAAACCATCTATCCCCCTGCTGCCTTTTCTTTTCGAAAATTTGCTTACTATAACCTTGCGCTCCAACTATAACAACAAAGAGCCTGCCCATCCCTGCTCCTCTCATGTGATACCAAAACGAAAAGCAACCACTGCCTATTCGCAAGGGTGGGCTTGTCAGTGTGGCTCGGTCTCGTGATAAACGAGGCGATGAAGACTCGATGTATGCAAACCTCCCTAAAAAGAGATTCTACATTTTATTTTACCATCAAAATAAAACAAAACGCATATAGGCTTTTGAGAGTATTTAATATAATAATGGAAAGCACAGCTATCTGTTTAATGAGAGCAAAAGCTCTTAAGCTGGATGAATTAGTATCAAATGCTCTTTAAGGTCTCTTTGGGCGGATTTAGATTAGTTACAAATTATTATCATTAGAAATAATCATAGGATTTCAAAATCGCTTCTCCTTTACTTTAGATGAAATCTTTTCATTGACAATATTTGTCAACTAGTTGTAAACCTCACTTTATAATGAGAAAGTCTATAGCTGTCTAACTTGTTTAAGTTTTAAGCGTGCGATAAATAGCTATGTACAACATAATATTTCAGAGGAAATCCTAGCCAAATGTTAAAAATAATAAATACATACAAGATTAAATACATAAAAATTTAAACACATGGTAAACTTTCCAAACAGAATTAAAAACGTGGTTGTATAAAAATCCGTCAATGAACGTCACGATAGTATTACAAATATCAAAGTTTTGGAACCAAAGTTTGCACGTGCAGCCAGTGCCATTCCAGCTTTAAATTTCTCACTGATAGACTTAGCAATCCTTACGTGCTGAGGTAGAGATAGCAAAGCCGCTATCCTCTATATTTGATCGTTTCTATTGGATTACAATTGATTATTTCTACACTGTGTCCTCATCAGTTGAAAGAACTGCTTTAAGGGGGAAATTCAAACTTCATAATACAAATCAAAACGAATAAGATCGATCCCATCATTGCGTCACATGTGCTGCCACGCGCCATTCATTCTGGTAGTTGTAATTACGCACCCTGTTATTAACCATTACATTCACTGTGTTTTCGCCACGTTATTTCAGTATTTACATCGAAATCATGAACGGAATTATTGAAAATCACACAAGTTAGACGGAAAATGACATCTCTAGTTTTCTCAAAGTTTGGGACCAAGGGACTCGTCCTACTGAAAGTGCTGTCAATGGAGCGATACCAGATGATGCGAGAAAGATATTTGACGTCGATGAATTTGAAAAAGTAGGATGTTAGCAAGTTGTCCATTGATAAAGATGGGAAGATGAAGTCGTTGAAGAGCCTTCCAAGCTTCGACAGTAGTAAACTTCCAAGCTTCGACAGTAGTAAACCTATTTAGTACAATTCATTTCTATTTTCTGATAACTCTCAGAGCCTAGGAGAGTATATATCTTCCATACAACACCAACAAACTTTGCAAGCTCTCCTCTAAAAAATACACATGTAAGGCTGGAACAAGGAACTTTTTGTACTTCCGAAAATTCGGTAGCCTTTCATCATAAGCTATATCTATTTGTACTTTATATAATTTCTATTGCTAAATTATTCGGATCCTTTATTCAGTTCGGACTTAGTTTTGAGCGGTGTAATTAAAAACTATCCTTCCTTAATTTAAAAACTACCAGAATGGCAAAACATGTGACGTAATAATGGAATCGATCCTTCCTTTACGGAATAGATCATTAATGGATATCTCATACCCTGGGGACTGTTGAACAATGAGTGCTAAAGTATAATGTTCCATTTGGCTCCCTTTTTGGCTTTGTATTTTGAAATGGAATACAGATTTTTGTTACCTTTTTGTGTAGTATGATCCCGCGAAGGGCCAGTTGTCAATGTGGGGGTGCTTCGTCCAACTACCCAGTCAAAATCGTCATCCTTTGAATTTTGCCACCTGCAGAAACTGCCGTCATCAAAGTTGCAAGCCAATGAATCTAAAAAGAGCCGAACAAACAAGATAGCTGGAGGTGATTGGGACTTTACAAAAGCCTTCGAAAGAAAAGCAACCTTCTTCAACAACCTCGAATCGACAACAATCATGTATCTCGGCCAGCTATATCATTCAAGTCTGATATGACGCTCAAGATGTTAGTTTGGTTAATGAAGACGGTAGTATCACAAAACATACCTGGATGGGCACAAGACCTAATTTTGCAACTTCTTGTTCTATCCGGCATCTTCAAATGATCGCACCTCCAGGAAGGCGCTTCCCTGTTCGAGCCTTCCATCAAACACCTGACCGTCCTATTTTGGGATCCCTGTCCACAAATTGCGTCACAGGCAGACCATTTTCCAATGTCAAAGAAGTACCTCCAAAAAGAAAAGGAAACAAAAGGTAAAGTCAAGAATCGTTTATTGGACAAAGAATTGTTTTGCTTCTTTCTATCCAAGAATTCTTTGGCAAACCCATGAGTTGACTTCCTAGCAAGTGCTTGCCATTTGTTATATGTGCTAAAATTATCAATCTATTTTGTTAGTATTCTTAGTGCAAAAAAGATTTAAACTGATGGCAAATCATATCATAAGGTGAACTCACTGGCTACATGGAGGGTTCTCGCACGTCTCTGTTTCACTTGGTTTTCTATCTGTACAAAGGGAATCAGAAACGTTCTTAAGTGACACCTTCTCGATACAATAAACTGGTCGCTGTCGGATACCTCCATCACAAGACTGTGAGCAAGGACCAAATGTTCCATATTTCCACTTGAAGACCGGGCAGTCTTGGACATTGCACTTTTCAATTCGGGGTGGCGATGGCCCAGAGCAGAAACTGTTTGAAACACTGACTCCAGTCCTCTTATTAACACAATACACAATTTTGACTCGCAGCCCACCTCCACAGGACTTTGTGCATCTTGAGACGGCTGTTGTTCTATATTCAAACGAATCGCATTGATTGAGATTGCATTTCTGAATTTTTCCTGGCTCTTTCTCCTTGCAGAAGCTTGAACTAACAGCTTCATTGTTATTGCTGGCAACACAGTTAACCACTCTGGTCTGCAGACCACCTCCACAAGAGCGAGAACATGTCCCCCAGGGGCCTAATGTCCATCGATATGTAATACATGGTCTGGACGTGCAGTTCCTTGTGCTTATTGGATACGGAGCCGGACAGTCTCGATTAGGCACAACTTTATTGAGTTTCCTATCAGCACAAGCTACGATTCTGCGTTGGCGCCCAACTCCGCAAGTAGCAGAACATCTGCTCCAGGACAGAATGACCCATTTGTACCTAAAATTATCGATTGCACCTTATAAATGGCACGCGTAAAGAAATCAATTATATATTACCAAAGCAATTTCAAGGTTTCTCATCACCCTTTGTTCAAAGGAATTGGGATATCGAAATACGATTTACTTTCTTATTTTATATTGTTTATTCTTATTGTAAATTTTTAGGGTTCATCTTTTTTCTTTGTACAGGGCATTTCGGAAAGCAATTTATGTATGTACAATTCATAACTTTACCCTGTGTAATAATTAAAAATAAAATGAAATGAGTGTTCCTAGTAATGCCGCCGTCGCAAAGACAAATGAGCTGTAGTAGTGTGAGCGTTCACGGAAAACTTAAATAAACATAACACAAATTAATGGCAGATACTCACACAGAATGACATGAAACTGTATTGCATACGCGAGTTATGTCATTCATCTTCAAATGCGAGCAAAAAGTGCGTGGAACATCGGAAGCTTTGTTTTTCACACACTTTAGTATGCCCTTCTGGATGCCACCACCGCATTTCTTTGAGCACTCCTCCCACTTGTCAACTTCGTATTTGTAGAAATCTTTCACGTTCTTTTTATAAAAGTATTTGAATCGGATCTCAGCTTCCTCTTTCACTGGCTTCACTTCATTGCTTCCAGAGTACAGCTGGAAAATAAGATCAAAGTTTGAATATGAGACATTCACCAAATATCATCTAAAACCAATCATGAGAAAATCTGAAGAATTGAAATGATCTTATCCATATAAGCCACAGCTTGCGTTAGATAGAAAAACATCATAAATAACTTAGGCCTCTTAGCGATGGGTCTTGCCATTCCAGACTCAACAAAATATAGTTAGCTGCAAAAAAAGCTAAATCCCGAATTGGCCCCCTCCTATTATGTCAACCCTTCAAATAAGCCTCCATCCTTAAAATAAAAACTATAAAATCCCTACCCTATCATACCCTCGCATCCTTAACATGCCAATCTTAGTGTTCTAATAGGCCGTCATGCGATTAACGGTATTTCCGAGGCATTTTTACAATGTTTATGTTTCAATATCGATTCGCAGAAATTTTTCTTTCTTGAAAAAATGGTTTGAAAACGGGCTTTGTCTATGGTGACTTCCATGAGCCCTCTAAAAGTCCCCAATTGAACTAACCCTCATCCAAAGACCAAAGAAGGCCCTAAGAGGTTATTGTGAGGTTAAGCCACCATACCACAGCTTCCAAGGGTCCTGTCAGTGGTCCAGAGGCAGCCATCATCTGTCTCCCATCTTTAAGGTTTGAAAAATAAAGAGTTGTTCCAGCAGCAGCAAAGTAGCCACGTCCCTTTTCAGCCGCCATATAAACTTCATCAATAGAACCTGGTACTCTGAGCCCTGAAGATAAGTTTACATATTATCATGACATGATAAAGCAACGTAGGTCTGCGAATGGCTGTGACAGTTAGGCCCGGGTTATACGTTATGCTTCTCATGTGCCGAACCTAATTGGATAAGTTCGACATTAGCTCGCCTCTGGCTCGATGTTAAGTTAAGCGTCGAGCCATTGTGTCCAGCTGCCATGGTACCCAAGCATCGCCCATCGATCAATATGATTTTTCAAGATGGCCTTAACTCGCAGAGAAAAAATATTGCTTTGGAAAAAAATAATTTCAAAGCGTCGTAAGCGTCGAAAATTATTGATTCAAGGAATGGCTATTATTGTACAACAGAGGCTACTAACATTGAAGTCGCTTTTGTTGGCAGCTACTTTTTTATTTGTAAATAGCGAGCGGTCAAAAAACGGATTAGGTCATGCGAAAGTTGCCAAGAAATACAGGTTGGTGGGACAAACTCTGGTTTACCTACGACAATAAACGATTTTAGCAAACCCTACGAGTATAAAGATCGACATTTGTATTAATACTGGCAAGGATAAGCCGCAAATTCAGAGACAAACTCTTACTGAAGAACCCATCTCTGCCCTTGTCTATATCGCCTTGATAGAGGGGACTATCTTTATAGCATAGCGGACATGGTAGGCCTAGCATGCTCTACAATGACAAAGATTGTTAACGAGGTAACCCAATTTTATTTTGTTTGTCTTTGGCAGCAGTTCGTATCTAATACTATGCCAAAAACTGAAGATGAATTTCAGAGCAAGATCTTAGATATGGAAGAGCGTTGGCAGTTTCCCTGGTTGGGCAGCCGTTGACGGATGCCACATCCCCATTAAATGCCCACCTGGTGGCCAAAGTTCTCGAAAAGAATATCGTCATTTCAAGAATGGATGCTAAATATCGCTTCATCTTGGGAAGTTGTGGTTTCCTTGGGAACTCGCATGACTCGATCATTTTACAATCGACCTCTTTGTGGACAATAATTAAAGATGGAAAAATAATTCCAGAGATTTGTCAAGAAATAGATGCTGTTCAAATCCCTCCTCTTATACTAGGAGATTCTGCCTTCCCCTTTGAATAGTTTTTAATAAAACCTTACAGCAATGCAGTTTTGACTAAAAGCCAACGCTATTTCAACTACAGACTGAGTCGTGCCCGCATGGTCATTGAGGGAGCATTTGGCCAGCTTAAAGGAAGATGGCGGTTCTTGTTGCGAACGTCTGAGGGCAATGTCTATGAAACCAAAGTCGCTACCTTAGCCTTTTTAGTTTTACACAATATTTACCTAGATTGTGAAGACACTGCCTTCAAAGCTTGATGTATCAATTGATCAAGAAAGCAGCCAAAGAAGAAATAGAGAAACCATCCGTGACCTTCTTCTCATGAGAACGAGTAGAAAGGTTTTTGATGTGCAAAATAAAAAGGGAGTTAAAATAAGGAAAACTCTTGAGTCCAAAATTGCAAGAGAATTAGCTGAGACAAATAAGAAAAAATCATAGATGAAAACTCGTAGGTTTAAAAACAGTAACTTTCTAATATTTTTTTGTTAATGGTTATTGTTCAAGTTTGACTTTTAAAAGAATAACTTTCAATAGTTTTTTTTAAATAATATAATCCAGATTTGTTGTTATAATAAAATGTCACAATTTGGTGAAAGTTTTCTCAGATGTTTCATTGGCACCATTCAGTTCCTGCATGAAACTGTGGTAGGAATCTTTGCCGGCCATGTGATTAACAGCATTGTTGGGCTGTGGATATGGCTGGATGACTGGGTTCATATATGCTGCATTGTAATTATTCATCAATTGCTGTTGCTGTGGTGGCATGGTTTGTTGATTAATGATTAAATTAATCATAGCAAGTTCGTATTTCTTGTCTCTTTCCTCTTGCTCTCTCATAAATTTCAAAAAATCACTCATGGGATCTTTTTCAGCAATGTTTTTCATAAGACCCAGCATCTCTTGAAATTGCTGCTCCTTATGAGAGCTCTTGCTTTTTCACAGGGATGAAAAAAATTGGTGTTGATTCATCTGAATTAACAGACTGATTTATGGAATCAAAAGATTGCTTTCCTGACTCAATGGCTTATTCCGGCTGGCAGCTTTCTCTGGTTTTCACCAATTCAAACAACTGATTAAACCAAACTTTATAATTCTTTTCTTCTTGGAATTTTTTAATTCCACTGGCAGTTTGTTGTGACTTTGCAGCTCTCATTTCTAGCATTGACTCGCTTCTTAAGTTCTTTTAAAACTGCCTCATATATTTCACCATTTTTTTGACATTTGACATTCTGGAAAATCAGTTTTTTTGCCAGATTTCTTAACTATCTTTCTTTTTTTTACTGGTGGCACATCAGCATTGTTTTCGTTCCCGCTGTCAAAATCTTCTTCATCTTCCTCGTTACTATTAATGTTGGAACAAAAAAATAATCTTTCATGTTTTTTACAAATTTCCTAGGCACATATTTTTCTTAGTGGCACAAAGCAAGTTGAATATCATTTAATGTACAATTTATATAACAGCCTTGGTAAATTTTAGTTCCAAAAGTTAGAACCAATTCAATATTTGTTAATATCATTTTTAAATACAAAACACAAATACTGCAACTCCTGGTATCCTAATTTAACTTTTATTCAATCTTGAATTCAAGCTTTTTGAATGCGTCAGATTGTTTAATGTATCATGACAGGCAAACAAAACATGACACAGGTAGTAATTATTTTAATGATTAGCTTATAATTTTATTCTTTTTGAAAAAAAAACAACAGGTGCCTACTAGAGAAATATTTATAAAAAAGGCTTGAATATGAAATTCATACCTTGATGGTGATGTAGATTCAACTTTTGATGATTTATAATGCTGCACCTTGCAAACAGAACAGTAGCCAACACTTCTGCATGGTATCCAGCTTTGAGTTTCTTCATCTAATTCCTCCAGACAGCATACTGTATAGATTGGGACTCCGCAAATTATGCAAATATATTTAGTCTGCTTGATACAAGATTCGCAATCGTCCATAGGTCGTCAATTTGATGCCATGGTCGCAACTGAAGTTGCTAAACTTTCATACGTTGATTCGAAGAGGCATTGGTTTGAGAAAGTTAACGTTGGCGCCTTTTTCCCTATGTCATCCGCGCATGCCTAGCCTCGTTTTAACTTTCAAAATTATTGAAAATTAATTATGCATTAGGTTCGGCATATGAAAAGCACGACGTTGATCTTGATATCGCGCTTCTGCCGTTCGGCACGGCAAGACCAGTCGAGCCAGGACCGTTCTGCCGTACTTAATCAATTTTGTCGAGCTTAACTAAGTTGAACCTCGAGCTTTTCATGTACTTAAATTAGCAATTTGGTTCGGCTTGAGAAGCACGACGTATAACCCGGGCCTTAGCCGGCAATCAAGGCAGACTTTCGGTACCTTCGAGCTTTTTTAACAACTGATTAAATCGTGAAAAGAAACGAAAATCATGTAAACTCACCGATTTTGTATGGAGATAACTTTGAGTCTTCAAGAATGAAATTTGTCGTATCTTTGTCCAGATCAAGAATTTTTTCATAATCTATGGTACAAGTTTGAAATAGTTTTCTCAATTTGTCGTAAGAAAGAGATTGTGAGGTCAAATAATACTTTCTTTGTCTTATTTTCACTAAAGCCAGATGCACACTTGAGCATGTTGCTAGCTAAATGAAACGTGCAACACATTGCTAAAGTAAAATGATTTCGTTCGCTGCAAACGAGTAGCAAAGTGCCACGGGTGAAGAAATTTTCTAATATCCGAACTGTTGGTAATTTATGACTAAATTCTCCCAAAGGAGCCGGTGCACACGGAGAAGCAAAATGCTCTAGTGTGCGTCTGGTTTAAAGCGAAAGACACAAGGACAATAAGCATTCTATCTTATAAATTCCTGGGATATGACAAGAGGATAAAGAAGCAACGGGTCCTCCAAGGGTTCTTCGGAAGCAAAGAAGCAAAGAATTTTAGAGTGAATGTATTCCTTTCAAACGCGTTTAAAGGTGAACTGAAATGCAAAACTGTTTCTTGATGATGCATGCATAGAATCTTAGCTGCAAGCTTTCGTTTTTGATGCAATATCAGTTTAAATGTCATGAAATTTTTGTCGAGTCTCGACCATTGCCGGTGTTATGTGCGTTTCGGTAACCTTATGCATTTCGGTCCGGGTACACAAACGCATGACAATTTTGGTTATGCAAAAACGTAACCAAGCACTTAAACAACAGGGTACCAAAACGAATGTTGGAATTTAGCATCCGAACCGGTCCGGGTACACAAATGCTCTGGTTCATATTGTTCAGAATGTAAAGAACAATTGAACTATTTTTATAAAAGGGGTGAAAATAAGAAGCGGTGCTGTGAATTCCGTTGTTAAGTTTATGCAAAAAAGTACAACATTAACGGCGACTCCAAACTTTGCGTGATTGACAAGTGTGAAATATTAAACTTTTAAAAACGTGTCAAAACATCACACAATGATGAAATCACATGATCTGAAACACATTGCGTTTCACAATGTTACAATTTTCCATAGGATACCAAAACGCATATTACACCGGCATTTTCTACGACTCAACGCGCGTGACGTCACAAACACCACGTTTATAATCCTTAAATGCGAACCACGCACAAACTGAGGAGTTCAGTCCAAAATGTTCAGGAGTGCATTGAAGAATGGCAAGAAGACCACTTTATCAGCTTGAAGGAATACTCAATTTTGAAGTTAGTCATGCATAAAAATGTTAGATTCTTTTAACTTAAAATGATTAACTTAAAATATTGTTTCGATTAAATATAAATCACCGTTGTTTAGGTATATGATTTTACGGCCAAATACATTGCGAAGGCTATGTATCCCTTCGTGAGTTACCCTTCAAAAGGACACGCAGTAAGATAGCAAGTACAAAGGCAACAAAATTACAAAATAAATGCAACAGAATTTATAACCAAGATCGATTATTTTGGGAAAGTTTGGGGATGCCCCTGTCCCCTTTGTCGAAGAGGGTCATAAATCTTTCCATTAAATACTAGCCCTTAATTATTTTTTCAAAAGAGATACATGCTTGAAAAAGGACTTGTGCGACAATTCAATTGCTTGCTGACTTTTTTCTTAGTTGTGTATTGAAATGGAAGTCCTATCTTGTCGGGTTCTTAATCCCTTCAAAAATTTCATGTTTTTGTGACAATTTACTAGAGAACAGTGATTGAATTCAAAATATTTTCAGTAAATATCGAATTTAATCAGCATATGGTTCCAGAAAATAAGAAAAAATTGCACTTGGATAAATCCATTCAAATGAAGCCAATTTTGATGGACAAACGTAGTCATTTTGTAGTTGATAACCGTTACGTCAATTTGTCTAATCCTGGCAATATACCTATACACTACCTATATTTGATGTACTGGCCCGCAACAAACCATTTCATTCGAGACGGAGGAAGGTGTTGAGTCATGCAATATTCTTGCAAACCCTGATGTGAAAATTTTGGAAAGGAGTCATAATCTGTCACATTCACATCAGGTTATCGCAATAGAGTCAAAACCTAGGCCATTAATGCCTCGATGCTCTTCCGCCAAATCATTAGAGTAAGGCCTTCCAGACTGCCACGCAGCTCAAATAATTTGGATATGGTGTTTGTGACGTCATGATTAAGCGGTAGGCTCGAGTAAACTTGCACATGCTCGGAACATTTTCGGTGATTAACTTTGAGGCTGAATAATTCGAAAACAGTGTTTAATAGAATGGCCCGGGTATTGATGCTAGATAAACTCACATCTGAGGTCAAGTGCATCTTGCATTTCTAAATTCATCTTTAAAAGGAAGAAAATGAAAACATGCCTTTATCTGGAATAATCTTTTTTATGCCTTCGATCGCATTACAGGTTGAGCCATCGCCATCGCAAACGTTGCATTCATCAAGGATCTTGTCAGAGTTGAACTTCATGTCGCAGCCAAATTTCTAGCGAGAAAAAAAACATTTGGATTGCAACAAAAAGAAGCAGAGAATCGTGTGAAAAGTCCAATCTCTTTGATTAAATATTATTTTAACTTCCATATTATGAACATATGCAATAAATACAAAATAACAAACCAATAGATTACCTCACATTTTCCGATGAGACAAATGTCGTGTGATTTATTGTTATGACAATGAGTTCCGTCCAAAACAGTGTTGTCAAGGAAGAATCTTGTTTTGTCATTGCTCATGCATGGCAACTTACACGGGTTCTTTGCTTGCGAGAGAAAACGAGAAAGTCAATCACTTTGGATATATAACTGTCAGATGAATCTCTTTTAAATAAAAAGGGAAGAAATTTTAAATATTCAAAATGATATCTGTGACGTATTCTAGGTTGTTATTCTAGTTAATATCAATAAAAGGTACAAAGTGTTGGTGTAATAGAAAGAGTAAATGTTGATTTAAGTATACTCGAAAGATATTACTAGAAACACTGAACTTTCATGTTTATTTGTCTCCGTCCTTATCCTAAGAAATATGCAATGACATTTTGCCCGGGGTATCATTTTCGCTGTCTAAGCAACACTCTCTCTGTTTGCCTAAGCGAAAATAATAGCAGTTAACCTCAGCTACTTTTATTTTATTAGAGTACCAACATTTATCACTAAATGTGATAAAGCATTATTACCATACTATAGTACCAGCAACTATGATGGAATGTGATAGCTGCCTTACAGAAGTATTACACTACAATAGGGCCAACAGCTGATATTATATGTGATAGCTGCCTTACAGAAGTATTACACTACAATAGGGCCAACAGCTGATATTAAATGTGATAGCTTTTTTAAATATAGTATTACACTACAATAGGGCCAACAGCTGATATTAAATGTGATAGCTTTTTTAAATATAGTATTACACTACAATAGGGCCAACAGCTGATATTAAATGTGATAGCTTTTTTAAATATAGTATTACACTACAATAGGGCCAACAGCTGATATTAAATGTGATAGGGTTTTTAAAAGTAGTATTACGCTACAATAGGGCCAACAGCTGATATTAAATGTTATAGGGTTTTTAAAAGTAGTATTACACTACAATAGGGCCAACAGCTGATATTAAATGTTATAGGGTTTTTAAAAGTAGTATTACGCTACAATAGGGCCAACAGCTGATATTAAATGTGATAGGGTTTTTAAAAGTAGTATTACGCTACAATAGGGCCAACAGCTGATATTAAATGTGATAGCTTTTTTAAATATAGTATTACACTACAATAGTACCAAAGGCTGATATTAAATGTGATAGCTTTTTTAAATATAGTATTACACTACAATAGTACCAAAGGCTGATATTAAATGTGATAGGGTTTTTAAAAGTAGTATTACGCTACAATAGGGCCAACAGCTGATATTAAATGTGATAGCTTTTTTAAATATAGTATTACACTACAATAGTACCAACAGCTGATATTAAATGTGATAGCTTTTTTAAATATAGTATTACACTACAATAGTACCAAAGGCTGATATTAAATGTGATAGGGTTTTTAAAAGTAGTATTACGCTACAATAGGGCCAACAGCTGATATTAAATGTGATAGCTTTTTTAAATATAGTATTACACTACAATAGTACCAACAGCTGATATTAAATGTGATAGCTTTTTTAAATATAGTATTACACTACAATAGTACCAAAGGCTGATATTAAATGTGATAGGGTTTTTAAAAGTAGTATTACGCTACAATAGGGCCAACAGCTGATATTAAATGTGATAGCTTTTTTAAATATAGTATTACACTACAATAGTACCAAAGGCTGATATTAAATGTGATAGGGTTTTTAAATATAGTATTACACTACAATAGGGCCAACAGCTGATATTAAATGTGATAGCTTTTTTAAATATAGTATTACACTACAAAAGTACCAACAGCTGATATTAAATGTGATAGCTTTTTTAAATATAGTATTACACTACAATAGTACCAAAGGCTGATATTAAATGTGATAGGGTTTTTAAATATAGTATTACACTACAATAGGGCCAACAGCTGATATTAAATGTGATAGCTTTTTTAAAAGTAGTATTACACTACAATCGATGTGGTAGCGCTCTTAAGGTACCATAATTCTTAAAAGGAACCATCTGCTAATTTTAAATTCAATAGCTAACTCTGACTACTTTTAGTCAATAATATAACAAACAGCTGCAATTAAATCTCATAGCTACCTTCAGCCCCAGCCTGGCAGAGTCCTGGTTCAAATTTGATGTTATCAATAGCTGCATCGCCTTTATAGTGAGTTCCACGTACCCCCTCAATTACAAGCTGCGAAGCAATATAAACAAAATCTACTTAAATCATGGTTAAATCCAACACTTTTTTAAACAGCTTTTATTAAAATATACTTTAAATGTACAAATTACTTCTGATGTACAGCCTTAGTCTCAAGTAATATACAAAAGACCGATCAAACAGTAAATTGTGAATTAACAACTTTAATGTGACATGATATATTCCGGTTTCTAAAAAATCGTTTCAGATTGAAGAATTTCTTCGAGAGGTAACTTTTTTAGCTGATGAATGAAACACCCAAAACCTTGCAAAATAACACAAAAATAGATAGAAGAGAGGTATCTAGCAAAATAAAACACACAAAAATGCATTACTTAATCTTAAACTTTATCTATAGGAGTTCTCGATCCATCAAGTACCAATTCAAGCTGACTGAATTGTTCTTATTATTACAGGAGACGGCTAAGATACTTGGCCATCTTCTTGGTTGGACGCACGATGCTCCATTCTGCACCATGCATAATGCATTGCGCCATAATCCCAACCGTCTGTTTGGTAATGATATATATTTTAACTTCCAAGGAGTTCTGTCTGCCATCCTACATTCTAAAATCGTAAGTCTGCTTAGTAAAAAATATATTTTACAGTTGCATTAAATAATAAACAAAGATGCTGTACATACGCTGTACTCTGACACCTGCTCAATCGATAATTCAAGTTCGTGCCAGTGATCTCCTTGATTACCAATCTTTTCCCATAGTGTTGTCTCCCCGTTCTCTCCTTTAACAATTATTTTCAAAGATCCCATATCTTCTCCGTACATATGGTAATCTAGGCTGAAACAAGCCCTTGGCAACAGGATCCTGGGACTCACCAGTCGCGCTTTGAAGCCTCGCTGCCTTCTGGCATTAAAGTTATCAGAAGCTTCAATAAACGCATACTTTCCTGAAGGAGCAAGTAAAAATGAAATTTTGGTAAAACCATTTTTTCTTTCCAGGAAATGGACACAGATGCAATTAATAAACAAAACTCGATCTTTTAATGCTGACACATTCATATCAATTGGCTATGAAATCGATGGCCTATGAAATCTAGGGGCCAGTTGCCTTATCAACGTACCCTTGACGTTTCCATGTGGATCGTTTCTTGGGCCTGTATATTGGCTTGGGGTTCTACCACTGATTATATTCCAATCAAACTTGTCATTTTTGTCTTGCCTCCAGTTGCACCATCCATTTTCAAATGTACAGTCAAGAGAATGCCGCTGATCTTTAACTAAAATTGACAAGTAAACAATACCATTTCATCAAACAGCTCGTGGTATTATTGCAAAATACCGTTGCTGGCACAAAGAAAATGTTATCACTGCTTAGAGTGACTCAAATAAAGAACCTTATTACAGGCTACTTAGAAAAAGTATCTGAGATACTTGTTCAAAATACTATTACCAGAAACCCTGGAAAAACAACTGAAAACTTAAGAGTACCATTCACCAAATTATTGTGACAAAATGCGTAAACAAAACTGTAACTGTGTGATTAGGTTTAATATCGACCGAGCTGATCTCGGAATATCGTATAAGAAACGCGCACTTTTCAAGAATCTCTGACCTTGCTTACAGAAAGGAAAACGGCAATACTTGGTTCTATCCTTGAAAAAGGAATGATGGGCTTTTGCATTTACACTAGGTGTTATGTCACGTGCTTGTTTGGGAACAGTCCCATTCTATACAATAGATATTCAAGAAAAGATACCGCCCGTCCCTGTTTTCAACACATCGCATATTGCTCGTAAAGCTCCATTGCTCCGTTGCTTCGTTGCTCCAAGAATAAATATGAAACCAATCTCCGATCGATTTATGAAACCCGCAAGTAGATTGATTTATGATTGATTAGAGAAACAGAAAAACTGTATCTAGCGAAAGTTTGAAATCAATATATAACTCTTATTTATCTGTTATGATTCATTTCCTAATCCAAACTGGCAAAGGACTCTTAATATTCAAACTCACAATACTCAGCAAATTCTTCATCCCTATAAAGTATAAAGTCCTCTCCATACACCTGTTTGCACTGATCGTCTCGAATATCTTCAAATGTTTTAGTTATTCTGCATCTCTAAAAGATAAAAAACTATGATAACATATTGATCATGTACCAGTACAAAAAGCCTTAAAGATAGAAAAGTGCAGAGCAAATAAACAACAACATTGAAATGCTTTGGTAAGAAACCTGCAAAAAGGCAAGGCCGAGGTATCAAGACAAATCTTAAAATGTCAACGTACCTGGGTGTTGCAAATATCGTGTTCAATGGAAGAGCCCGGACATTTCTCTCCTCTGTTGGTAGGCCTAAGCGAAAACGACCAGACGTTGCTCAAAAACATTCAGCACCGTTGTTTATGAAAAATGACTCAAAATAGCTACATTGGGTGTCACAGCCACCTTAATTGGAGCATGGAAATAGAAGATACGCTCCGCCACTTTTCCGCTCCTGCCCTCTATTTCCTCGCTCGAAATTTTGTGGATCTGGTACCCAAGGAACAAAATAGCATAATTCTTCATGCAGTTTAATAACGACTGCAAGATACTTCCAAATGAAAACTGGCAAGGTTTAAATGAAATTGCTACATTTGCTTCCTATGAAATTTTTAATTTCCGTAAAGAAACATAAAAAAGTAACTTTATTATCTGACTCTTACTGGGTTTCTAAAGTCACCGCTACTTGCGATGAATATTGCCGTGTCGTAGATCTGAGAGAGATACCAAAACTTACTTAGGATTATCACAAACTCTGGTTCGATGACGTAGACCAGTTCCACAGGACAAAGAACACTTTGACCATTCCGCCCAGGAGCCCCAATTTCCATTTACAGGTGGAGGATCAGCGGGTCTTTGACTACTTTGAACACAGCGACCTCTACGGCACCACTATAAAGCAGAAAATAGGGTTACTATATTGGGTTGGGAGAATGCTAATCTATTGAATCTATTAAAGATATAGATCATTCTTGCTTTGGGTGAAACTTATTTTTATCTTTTTATCAAATTATTTACCTTGTCTTGCCCGCAGTAGGTTCCGTCTAGAGGGGGGCGTCCTCTTGTCGTGCATGACTGGTATCTTCTGCTTGATTCGGTACACCACAGGCGTTGACAACCATCTGCCGTGTAATACTAAGCATGATAACAAAAGAGACAGTAAGAAAAACCTTGCAGGTGTCTTTGAGGAGAATGGCAAAGGCAATAAGAAATATTTAGCTAGAACTTAAAGTATGACTGTACAAAGCAAAACTGATAAAGCAACAAAAGAATAAAGAGTGTCGAAAGAAGACCAAAATGATTGCAATAAATTCAAAACAATGTAAGTATTGATGAAAAAATTCTAAACCCTGACACCTTTACCTCACATTTTTCGTATCCTTTGCCAAAATCATATCTGCATTGTTCATCCATTGTGGCAAAAACACCAGGTAAAGAATCCATATATTTGAAGTCTTTCGGATACGGTCGATCCTCTAAACACCGGAAGTACCTGAAAAATAGACGTTTATATAACTTAAGTAAGATACATAGGCTGACTAGGTTGCATAAGTTACGTAAAATACACAGGCAAGACAGGTTTCTATGGATATTCAGGTTTGATAGGTTACAATGTTTACACAAAGGCTACACATGTATTTCAAACTAATGTAAGTAACTGCAAAACCTTGATGAAGACGTGTCATGGAATGAGGTAGTAAACAAACAGTGTACTTTAATGTGCTGTACGTCGATTGAGACTCATATATAATCAAATAAAGTGTAGGTCTTCATCAGGTAAAAATAAAGAAGAAAATACGTACAAAAAATGAGATAATAAAATTGTGCAGCAAGAAACTGCTCAGTGACAAAAAGGAAAAGCAGAGCAATGCCTGAAAATAAAGAGCAAAATAATGAGCAATAGTAAAATTACCGAGTGTTTTCTTGCAACAGTTTTCTACTGCAAGAAGACCAGTGGAATCTATTGAGCTTCGAAAGAACCAAGGCAGCCATTACACTTCCCTTTTTTGTATCTTGTTTGCAGTCATTTTCTTCTCCATCGTGTCCGAGACCCAACCTGCATATTGGGAAAATTCAGGAAATCATGGTGCTACCATGGTACAACATTGGATACTGTTGGAGAATCACTGAACAGTTTATCAAGACTGTTTAAAAGGCGAGCTTTCGCTTGAATGCTTTTAGCTGGTTTATGCAAATCTCAATGGAAGGAAGCAATGGAAAAGGTAAATGGGTCATATAAGTGAGGGGAACGAAAGAACCTTTCTTTGTGTGATTCACGAGAACACTCCTCAAATTATTGCCTTTATACTGGCTTCATTGAAATATTTTTGAAATACTTGAACCCTTGTTAATTGCCTAATATAGCCTTTCATTGCCACTCGCGGCAATTCTTTGTGTTGTTTAGAGGCGATATCTTTTCTTGGCTGCCGGCTGTCTCTAGTATTTCAAGTCTAACATCACAGCCTTAAGAAAATGGGATACTGCTGGGAATATCTATGACATTCGTGATACAGGTTTGGATGTTGTAAACTTTTTTAACTTAGTTTTTTCCAATACAAATATCAGCAAATATTACATGAAACTTACACGTGACCAGCCTCGTGCGCAGCGATGAAGGCTGAGGCGAACCCGTTGTCGTCAACCAAAGCACAGCTTCGTGTTTGGGAACACATGGTATAAACAGGAGCATACCCTGAAGCAAAGTGTCAATATGAAAGATCAACCTTTGACCAAGCATTCCAACTACGTATGGAATATAGGCAGGTTTTGGCATGCAGACTGTAAATCTTGAGGTGGAGTGAAAAACAACAATTTGCTTTACCGGTTGAAATTTAATTATCTGTACATCAATTTTCCTTTTTTTAACGAGCTTTAAAAATATAGATGATTGTGTCATCAGAAATCAATGGCTAATATCAAAACTCCTAGATCTCAGGCCCTGTTCATGCGATACCGGATTCATTTCGTATTGGATCACTTTTTATATCGGATAGGCCAGGAAAGTCCATCTGAAATGATAAAGGAACTGGGATGGAAGTCACTTGCGGAGAGACTTGCCAACCTGAAAGCAGCAATGATGTTTAAAATTCAGAATAACATTGTTGACCTTCCTAAAGATATCTTTACTGAAGTAGGAACACACAACAGAAGAAGTCAGGCAGTAGTCCTTGTACCAGCAGCGCGAGTTAACTGTTAAAAGTATTCCTTTGTTCCAACGGTCGCAAAAATTTGGAATGAGCTGCCCATTGGAACAAGAATCTCAAGAAGATCACTTGAATCTTTCAAGTCATCACTGACTATATACAAATAGAGACAAGCCCTATTATTGACCCAACTCTTTTATTTTCTTTTTCATGTTCGTATTGTTGTTGTTATTTTTGTACTGACTGGTCAGCTGCTGGACTGCTAAGATGTTGCTAAAGGTTGGATCTAGGCTAAATCACGGGGAGTGTCTTTTCTTGAATTTGGTGTACCAAATAGTTCAGTGCATAAACGCTTACCAATCCGGCAGTGCTGACCAGTTTATCTTCTATTATTGAGACTAACCTACTAGCCGCTAGTACGCAATACCCATTGTGAGGACTGTACTTTAACATATATATTATATTAGATTAGATTAGATTGGGCCTTCTGTTCACGCTCCGTGTCGTTTTTTCCGAGTAAAACCATTCCGCATTGAATGTGGAACGGAATAATATCGGATCAGTTTTGAGCTCGTGTGAACGCATGAATCCGAAACGGTTCGTTATCGGGGTTTTCAAAAACAGTTTGGCACTCTTTTCAAGACACGAAATGACAGTGGATCCCAGTTAAACAAAAAATATGCTCCTTACCATGATGATGAGCTTCACAAGATTAATGCAAAGGAAAATTAGATTGTTCAAAAACTGATTTCGAAATTCTTCTTCTTCAAAACGAAACAGCGTATCAGATATGTCAACTGCTTACAGACAATGGATTTTTCGGAGCAGTATTGAAGCGTAGTGTCACCGTGTGAACAGGAGTGAATCCGATACAAAATGAATCTGGTATCGTGTGAACAGGGCCTATTCTGAGCAAGGAATTAAGGATACACTTAGTAGACACAGTTACCACGTAACAGTCTGCTTACCTGCCGGACCAAAATCTCGTCTAGAAGGAAAAGTAATCCAGGAATTATATCCTTTTAATATATTTCAGTAATAGTTTTCAAGGTAAAACAGTGCGAATAGAAATAAAAATAGAAACATCGACAATACAGACAGATTGAAAGACGGCGCTAAAAGATAAAAATGCTGACAATATTTGAAAATAAATAATAAGAATAGAAAAATAACAATAAACTATAAAAAGAGATTCATTCTGATCTTGAACCCTTTGGGTAATTTGGCCATACAAAGTTTGAAACTACTAACCTTGTCAAGACCAGAGCAAAATCGTGGTGATTCACGTGCTTATCATCATGAGAGCTTTGCAAGTAAACAGCATAGTCACAAGCTGATTGGACACTCATAGACGCAGAGTCTCGTGTAATAACAAGCCTTGGCTGAAACGGAAGGTGAAAAAAGTCAGTTTGCTCATTGAAGGTTTCGCAATGTAACAAGGTCAAGGTTTGTTTCCATGGGATTAAAACATTGCAAAAACAATGATAGGGACAGCATGTACCTCTCTCTTCTGCAATATCACCAAACGGGTTAAAACGAAATTGAGACGTACTCCTGTTGTCGAGTCTTTCATGATGAGATTGATCTAAAAAACGTTTAATAAAGAAACATTGATTTCTGCGTTGTCAATGAGATTTATCACCCATTATCACAAAGGGAGTGCCATTTCAAAAAGTCAACTTTGGGACCGAAAAAATTGGGTATTCTTACTACTTTCCTACGGGCTGTTTTCTAGGGAACTCTAAGAAACTCAGAATTGATCCTTAAGAGAAATGCTTTCGAAATAATCAAAACAAACACTTTCATTGTTCCATTGTTCATTTTTCAAAGAGTCCATTGATCACTTTTTCTTTCTTCCTTTCTCTGAGTGGCAAAGATGGCCTTATAGTTTGATTTATTGTCATAATATACATGGATATTTGTGTGACTATTCTAGGCCCTACAGAAACAGTGACAGACGACTCTGTGACAGAAAATTTCAGGAGGCTTATAAAACGGAGCAGCAATGGCTTTGCAAAAGAGCTATTGACTGAAATTAACTGAGTGACACATCGCTTTGATTATTCTTTTGCCCATTTTTACCATTTTTCTTTTCTTACCTTTCTCTTTTCCGTTGTTACACTATTCATTTGTTGCTATATTGCAGTTTTTTGCCCCCCCCCCTCTCCCAAAATCTTTTCATAAAAGAGCATATAATGCTAGTAGCTATACAGGTATTCAAGAGAAAAGCAAAAGTTCTCACCACGTTAGATAGAATTAAAAGATATTTCTCCACTTGGACTTCCCGTGGAACTGCACGACACTTTCATCGGCGACAATCAATGTCTCCATCCACTTATCCTCGCCAGACACATCTTTTTCTGTAATGGGGGGCAGTTCAAGGTCGGCTAGAAGATAAAACATTTGCGCTTTTTACAGCTTACAAAATGCCATCAGAATTCTAGGATTGTTTACCCGTTTAGACTGTCTACGCTTGCTGTATATCCAGAATCAAAACTACCTTGCAATGTCACAACAACAATAGTCAAAAGCCTTCATAAAAATAATGGGGACCACTAGAAATGAAAGAACTGATGTTTTGGCGTTTGAAACGATGTGCATTGGTCGCTCAAGATTAGCAGTCATTTCATAGATGCATCGTTTTCACAAACCTGTCCATTACATTTTCGTTGAATCAGAGCTTGATGTTCATGCGAATTGTCTATGAAATTTATGTAAATTGTGGAGTAAATTTTCACAGAAACTCTTACGTGGAACAGTTATGACAACTTTGTCGCGATTTGATTCGTCGTTTCGCTTTGAGACATATTGTTTCTTCCCATTCATCAGGAAAGCTTCTTGTGAGCTTTCATCAACAGCTACCCATTTTGTTTGTGAGTACGTGCTAACAAACTTTCTTCGGTTTTGTTCGATGGTTGCAAAGTAACGGCGCTTACCGTACAAGTCCAACCAGTATAGCTATGGCAAATAGAAATTTACATTAAGAAAACACCTTTATTTTGTATTAGAAGAATGTATTGGATGCACGAGTATACTTTACAAAAGATTAAACGTAGAATAGGATCGACACATGCTTTGTATTCAACGCAATGATTTTTAAATATCTTTAATGTGAGGTCTTCTTTCTACAGTATCTATCGAAATATTTTAAATAACCAACATTTACCTGCACAGATCTACGAGCTTTGTTGACGATGGTGATAAAACTGTCCCAGACATCTCTTCGAGTGCGAGAGGGTCGGTTTAGGGGGCTTCCAATCCTTGGCACGTTACCAGCTGACAGTAGAAAATTTAATAAAATTACACTAGGCAGGTTTCAAAATCTTAATGTCGACTCCATGGCTATATTAAGAATCAGAGATTTCATTTAAACAATGTGACAATAAACTGGGTATTATTTAGTAGTTGTTTCGATCCATGAATCAACTGACTGTCTCTTGCAGTGAAACATTAATCAGACTTGCTACTTTTAGAAAATTTCAGCAATCAGAAAAGCTGTGCTGTATTATTTTAGTGTAAGTACGCTAGTTCAATTGGACTCTAAAGTCGTTTGTTTTCAGTGACAACATAGGCACATAGGTCATCTCGCTGCTGAGAGGCAATAACGTCTCTTAGTGCAAACGAACCTATGTTCACAGTAATAAAATACCAAGGAATAGTAAAGGTCTTAGAAATATAACCGCAAAGGGTGAAAGACGCCATTTGCCACGAGAGCAAACCTAAGTAAATTTGTTATCCATCTTCGCAAAACCTTACCAATGAAAGTTAAATCCACAACTAGTGGCTTGATTGTCTCTTTTCGAATCAGTGCAATATCGCATTAACAAACCACAAATTGAACTAGAACACAGTCAGTGTACCAATAGATATCTTTTGAAATTAGATTTCCTTCCGGAAGTTCATCGGTAAAGTAAATCATAAAGGCAAGTTAACGAGATTCTGCATATTCACATCACAAACCTGATAGAACACCAACAGCCTATTCAGCATCCAAACGGAAGTAAAATTTTAATCTTTTTCAGGGTTAGATGATAAACCTATAACTTCATACCTTGAAAATCTACACGGGAAGTTCACTTTAAGATTGAATTACGAAAACTCATATGACGTGTACGCAAATGCCCTCGAGGTTCTCTAGGATTATCAGAAGAGAAAATGACTTCCAACTCATTACGTACATTAAAATAAATTTATGAAAAATGCAACAGCTCTAAGGCTTTTTTTAAAAAATAAACAACATTGTGGTAACAGTAAGAATCTGAGACAAATGACAAGTCATCTGACAATTGATTATGTTTTCTTCAGCTGTGAATCAACAGAGACGTTCATAAAACGAAGTGCGGTTTCCATTTGGACCAAACGTTGGTGAAACATTGTATGGAATGAAATATTCAAATATTCTTGTCACGCCAAAGAGGCAAACTGAAACATGCCTATTTGCTAGGGCTAATCCTTGGTCATTGACAAAAATATGACATTGACATGAGAAAATATTCCCTTTTTAATGAGTAATTAAAATCTGCGAACTTGATCTGTAAAATAAGGAACCCTAGTGGTTGAATGAAAATTGGAATGTGTATATCAACGAGTTTGGTTAAATCAATTAATCCTATCCCAATATCGCTTTGAAAAAATCAACCTGGATTAATACAACTGAAATTAAATCTCATCTCAGTTAATTATCAGTTGGAGTGAATAAACCCAAGCTGGACCTGAATCTTTGAAAATTTGCAACTCTGCGACAGATTTTGTTGGATTTGCAAATTTTCAGCAGAACGGCAGATACCTTTAAGTGGTGTGTCTAAACTCAGTCTCTTCTCAACATCAGGCAAGGCAGACCTAGGCAGGTCCTTCGTTCGGTACACCAAATGCGGTCTTTGTCTTGCTTTACCAAAGCTTATGTTTGTCTTCATTGGCTCAATGAAAAACATGTCGTCATCTGTCCTTACTAGGCCGGCCTAGGCGCGAAAGAAAACAGATGGATGAGTTTTACGTGAAGACACTTATGAGTGAAGTGTATGGTGAACGCCGCACAAGATAAATTCACGATGCAAGAGAAGCGGAAAGCTGTGTATGGTGAAGGGAAGGGGGACAGCAATATATGATGAGCATTTTACAAGATCAGTTTGAAGGGCCAGGGAAATGGGAAACATCGAAATGCGGTGAGCGCTGTGCAGAGATAAACAAATAAAAATCGTTAGTTGAATTTTTTTAAAATCTCGAGTATCGATATTCTAACCGGGATTTACTGTATGCAAAACAAAACCTTCACGGCAGCTTCTGAGAGAGCAGAAAATGTAGCTATTTTACTGAAAATTTCCAATATTTTATATTCAAGATCGAAACCTGAAGCAATTAAGAAAAAGTGATTTTTCGTGACTACGTGAAAATTGAAAAACCAAGAACCTGTAAAGCAATGAAAAATGCTGAGGCCACGTGACTGTTTGCAATGATAGAAAACAATCCATGTTCAGTAGCCGAAAGTTTGCCAGCGTGAAGTGTGAGAAAGTTTATAAATCAAAGATCTAACCGAACAGTCGTGCTGCCCAGTGCATGGAAAAACACTGGCGTGCACGTTAAGTAGCGGAAGATATTGTATCAGGAATCTTGTATATTTAAGCAATTAGAACCAATAACTGCACTGCATTGGCTCTGATAACATTCTATCACTTGCAGCTTCGAACGAAAACAACACGACCCGTGTTATTAATAATCGCTTTTGACGTCAGAAAATCATCCAACTTTTGTGATGCTGCTGTTTAACCCTAAATTCTTTGCTTTGGCAACATTATACAAGGGTCTTTTCATCTTTACAATAAAGAACTCTGTATGTCACAAGATAAGAGAACAATTCTGCTAGCCTTCTAATTCACAAATCACACACAGCTTTTACTTACAAGTCCATCGCAGTCACTAATGGCAGCAGCAGAGGACATGTTTACATTAGAAACTTTGCCAATACGCAAGCAGGCATTCTGAGACAACAGCTTCTTCTGTATCCCTGCTTCGGTGTGGTACTCTACTGTAGCACCAGGTAGAACACTACTGCTTGCATACAGTTCCAACTCCAGGATTTTACCAAATGCGTTTATCTGTTGAAATCAAAATCATAAAAGACATCAACCGCTAACTTTAAAAAGCAATCACCAAAGAAAAGTAAATGTTGCAAGTGGAAGCGTGTCAAAATGTTTTGCGGGCCATAAGTCCGATTCTTATCGCAGATACTGTTGCAGCATTTAAAAAGGACATCTTTAAAATGACAATAAAAAGTGTATGCTTCTTTCATTCGCAAGTTCTAAATTATCTCAAGGAAAAGTCTCTGCCTCCCTATTGAACTGAAGAGTGCTAAGCCTCATAAAGAAAGTAGGGAAGATTAAGAAGTTACACTGATATTGAATTTGTTTGGATTACGAGCTAAGAGAGATCAAAATAAGATGGTGTTTTAATGTCCAGAAAGAGCAGAAAACAGGAGCGGAGGAGATGAAAACTAAAGAGAAAGCGGGGAGATTGCTGCCAGATAAAGATGGAAGGGGGGTCATTTGAAGAATGTTATACAAAAGAATGGGGGTGGAGATAAAAAAGAACGTGAACCAGCATTTAAAAAGGACATCTTAAAAAAGACAATAAAAAGTTTTTATGACAGCTTTTTCATTAAACTAACTTTAAACTGTACCTTTCCTTTCGATGAGCTTTTTCATTTAACTAACTTCAAACTATACCTTTCCTTTCGATGAGCTTTTTCATTAAACTAACTTCAAACTGTACCTTTCCTTTCGATGAGCTTTTTCATTAAACTAACTTCAAACTGTACCTTCCCTTTCGATGAGCTTTTTCATTAAACTAACTTCAAACTGTACCTTCCCTTTCGATGAGCTTTTTCATTAAACTAACTTCAAACTGTACCTTTCCTTTCGATGAGCTTTTTCATTAAACTAACTTCAAACTGTACCTTTCCTTTCGATGAGCTTTTTCATTAAACTAACTTCAAACTGTACCTTCCCTTTCGATGAGCTTTTTCATTTAACTAACTTCAAACTATACCTTTCCTTTCGATGAGCTTTTTCATTAAACTAACTTCAAACTGTACCTTTCCGTTCGATGAGCTTTTTCATTAAACTAACTTCAAACTGTACCTTCCCTTTCGATGAGCTTTTTCATTAAACTAACTTTAAACTGTACCTTTCCTTTCGATGAGCTTTTTCATTAAACTAACTTCAAACTATACCTTTCCTTTCGATGAGCTTTTTCATTAAACTAACTTTCAACTGTACCTTTCCTTTCGATGAGCTTTTTCATTAAACTAACTTCAAACTGTACCTTCCCTTTCGATGAGCTTTTTCATTAAACTAACTTCAAACTGTACCTTTCCTTTCGATGAGCTTTTTCATTTAACTAACTTCAAACTATACCTTTCCTTTCGATGAGCTTTTTCATTTAACTAACTTCAAACTATACCTTTCCTTTCGATGAGCTTTTTCATTAAACTAACTTCAAACTACCTTCCCTTTCGATGAGCTTTTTCATTAAACTAACTTCAAACTGTACCTTTCCTTTCGATGAGCTTTTTCATTAAACTAACTTCAAACTATACCTTTCCTTTCGATGAGCTTTTTCATTAAACTAACTTCAAACTGTACCTTCCCTTTCGATGAGCTTTTTCATTAAACTATCTTCAAACAGTACCTTTCCTTTCGATGTCTACCATTTCTCGAGTCCTTGATCTAAGTATTTGATTTCGGTGGATTATATTTTTTATAATTTTTCTACAAGCCTAAATACAAGCTATGATAAGTCTAAAAAAACTAATAATAGAAGACAAAAATTTAAAAAATCATTTAATAATATGAGTGAATTGAATTTGACGTCTGATCTTCATAGCAGTCGTGCCGATAATGATCAGAGTCGATAATGAGTCCTGCCTAAGTAGAAAGCCAAAACGAATAAAGAAACTAAAACTGGGAGCTAGAGACGAAAGAAAGACGCGAAGACAAAAGGAGAAAAATTGGTCAAAAGGAGGGAGACGAAAGAGAGGTACACCTCAGGAGGCGACAGAAAGGAGAAAATAATTGGGATAAAACAGAGGAATAATTGGGGAAAAACATGAGATAAAAATATCCAACGACAGGCTTTTTAAGGACTTCAAGTGCTTGGTCAAAAACTTTTTCCAAAAAAAGAGAAGACAATAGTCTATTGTCTTGAACAATGGAAGTTACTAGCACAAAGATGCTCTCTAAGTGTATTAGAAAATGCTCTGCGACTGGACAGGTTAAATTTAAAAAAGGTTCAATTTAAACTTAAATTTAAACTTAATTAAATTTGAATTTAAAAAAGGTTTCCTTTACGCAAATATTTCTTTGGAATACGGAGGAACGGTGAGTTAGACAAACTTGAACTGAGGCTTAACGCAAAAATTCAACCTTTCAGATGGCTGGCTTAAATTGAACACTACGGTCTTCTATTGCCTGTTGTTCGCCAATGTTTATAAAAAGACTTTGATGCGAGGAAATAATTGCCGTGTTTCCATAACCTGCAAATTTTTTTCAATCAAAATGGACGGAGCTATGGCATTGCTAATTGGATCAGCTAAGCATATTTCTGTTACTCGATTGCAAAACTGACTGTCAAAAGCTATCGTACAATATGCATGACAATTTTTATCTGCACCGTTTACATTAGGTCGTATTCATCAGGAATTTGCAGAAAATTCTTATTTGCTATTATTATCTATCACTAAAAGACTCACCTGGTAATGGGAGGCACGGTCATCGTTTAAATCACGTCTTAATCTTCGATGTTTCTCAGACAATTTGTAATTTTTTTCTAATGCTTGTGGATATATCACTTCATATGTGCGTAGATTTTTAACGAATGCATCTGAAATAAATGTACGCAAAGTCAGTCTTTGTCACATAAATTGGTCACATGATACTTATAACGCGATTTTGCTTACTTTTATAAGCATCAGAATACTCAGAGATCAGGGACTCAATGGATCTGATCTGGGCAAACGTCTATAAGGCATACTGTAACATGGCTACGCCTATATAATTGACAATTGAACCAATATGTCGGTGTTGTACAAACTGGAACTCAAAATAGATATAGCTGTAATGGATACAATGTAACTAAAATACTTATACATATATGAAAAATGGTTATAAGGAACTTATGTGCCAGTACACGACGTAATAAAGCTAATGCGGCTATGAGACTAAAACTCATATCGTAATACTTGTGCAAGACACATTGAAGCTTTTATGGTGATAAAAAAGTTGCTCTTCCCTTAGCACTGTGGCTCCCGGTCCAGCTTCGAAAGATTGCTCTACTATTAATTTGTAAACCAATCTGGTCTTAGACCGTGCGGATGTTATTGAAACCGAGTTAAATCATTTCACACAAAGGTGACTTAAGATTAATTGTATCCGCGAGCGATGGTGTGCAATCGAAACCTTCTTTGCATTAAGCTTGATTATACAAGCCTTTGATTGTTTATTCACGATTCAGAGTACCCACCTTCCTTTTTAAAATGACAGACATGTCAGATTGGTTCTGTTTCACAGTGGGTCATTCCTTACATCCATTTCGGCAACCAATGGAAGCAATTGCCACATTAATAAACTCTAATGTTAACTTGAGTCTAAAACAACTTGAAACAATTCGAGACATGTGGGCAGAAGTGGCTGGTAAGAATGATAAAGGAGTGAAGAATGCGACAACAAAATATGTAACGAACAATGAAACTACTGTCTCTGTATTATGCTTTATCAAAGAATCTCACCGAATCGCAAATCAATCGCCTATAACAGCAAAACGATCCCAGAACTATAAAAGCATTACTGTACAATTTTAGAATGAAGGACTTTTTCATAAGTTGATTGCTTTATCGATATTTGCGGCAGACTCTTTAGTGTGTTAAATTCCTTATAAAATATCTTCTTTATTTCGCTATTTTGTAGTGGGCAGATCTTAGAATCAGCAAATAATGAAAGCAAAGAGACCAACTCACAATTACTCATAGACATGATCTTTCTTCGTTTATATTGACGTTGAAACCACAGCGCCAGGGCAACAACGTATTTAAGATAACGGACCTCTTACCGCTAACCCCATTTATTAATGACAACATTTAACTTTTGAAAAAGCTTTCAGATGCTTTAATGGTCAAAAACGAAGGTTCGTATGGAGTTATCATGAAGGTGAAGCCATTCAATAATTCATTCTTAAAAAATTTCAAGGCTAAAAGGTACAGGAAGAAAACCTTTGCATGTTTCCTTGAGCATACTCCCTCTGTTTAGTGCGGCATATCGTTAGATATTCCTTTGGTATTGAATCAAGTGAACATACTAACACTGCTCTATCGACCGTTATTATCACTATCTTTGCCAGTAAATCGTGGCCTGAGAAGATTGAACGAAGGGTCACAATCAATTTAACATTAAGTAGGCTGGCTTCGTTTGTCAAAGAATAAAGGCAGATCTTCTTGTGATTATATGATACAGAGGGGCCAGTAACGAAAAGAACTACAGCATCAACTAAAAGTGACCAAGGAACAATCATGGTAATTTCACGTGAATTAGCTAAATACCACGGATTAATCCCAATGAGGTTTGAAAGAACCCTGAAAAGTTTCACTGGGTATAAGCGACAGTGATTCTTAAGTATCAAGGCTGGGACAATTACCAGGCCAGTAGGTGCCTCTAGTCTCCGAGACAGCTGAAACTGAAAAGAAGCTCTTAATAATCCTGTATCGACGAGCAGCCCTCAAACTGCAGTCTTTGAGATTAGGTTTGTTGGTACTTAAAGGCACCATACTGTAATATTCATGTCCCTGGAACTCCTTTTACAACCTTTTTAAGATGGAACAGATTACCCGCAAACCCACAACAGAGCTATACCGCTTTCCCGTTCCCAAATTTGTACCACCAGTATTGAGAATTACGTAAGCGTTCTCATTCTTTGCAATGCCAAGTTTCAACAGGTCTGGACTGTACATTGAAATGTTTATAGGCTTAAGACTTCCCTATTGAGAAGTTTATATATTTTGAGGGAAGCAGGTGCCCGACGTTCATGATTGCAACGTCGATAGTTAAAGATGAAAAAAGAAACTGGACTTCCTAAGAATAGCAAACAAATCATGGTTGCAAATAAAAAAGAAAAGTCAAAAACTCTGTTTAGATTAGACCGCATCTTTCAGGGTTACTGGATCAGTCAGTACCGAATCTTTCAGGGTTACTGGGGTAAAAGGAAAATCTTCTAATAGTCTAATAGTCACCGCCTTTGTCGACGCATCCGCCATGACACTGCCATTGCAATTGGGAGGATAAAGATTATGGTCGTCGCGTGCCATCATAATCATCATGTTGACCATGACCATCATCGCACAAAAGGTTTGCCATTTTTTATGCCATGTGTTATCTCAGTCACTTTGGACTGCATTTTACGTCTATTCAAATAGTACCAACGAGTTAGAGAATGGCGTAGAAATTTGAGATTGGTCAGCTCTATTTAAACTTTTTAAATGGCTTAGTACCCATCAGCGTAATGCAGCATGGGGTTTAAGTCAAATTCCGCCTAACATCACTTTATTTTAAATATTGATGACAAATATGGCATGTAAAGGTCGCCCTTGACGGCTCTGCGCTAGGCAATACGCCTCTTCCACTGTCATGACGGTTCTTACAATATATCATTGCCCTCTGACCCGAACAGACAAAATGAGTGAACGAAGAACAATTTGACTACAACGGTTATAAATGACCAGGACCAGTTCTTACTAAAATTACTGAAATTTTCTCCTAAACTTTTGTGCATTCTGAAATACTTGTTTACAAGAGCAACCTCTGTCTATTGCAGCCTGTTTGCAACGCATAAATGCAATATACTGTAATTAGCCTGAAACAATGAACTTGAATTATTATCTAGCACCACTGAAAAGCGAACGGGAAACTGAAAATTTGGGAGGAAGTCTGCAAAAGAAGCACGTTCTGTCTGTAGACAGGGGGTTGACCTGTCATGAAACACAAACTACGCGATACAGTGCAAGAATGTTTCACGAGAATGCCCTGACTGGTTGCGCTTTATACATTTAACAATGGATAGGAACAGCTTTGAGTGATAAATCGCTTCCAGAGTATTTAGAAATTAAAGGAATTTTGGAAGCTGAAACAACGAGGATTGGTGGGATTAAGGACATCAAACAGTGCACAAAAAATATTGTATTGAGGCTTGATTTAAAAACGAGCAGCCTGTATGTTCACTTTGCACAGCGCCCGTCCTGTGTACATATTGTATTCTGTAGTCAGCTAAAAGCACGTACGGAGAGAACAGCGGCCTATTGAGTTTCGTCGTGTGTGAACCGCAATTAACCCTAGGGTATATACGTGATAAGAAATCGCTCCGTTGGCTACAGAACAGAAGAAACAAAAGAATGAACAAGTCTGTAAATCGCTGAACGGGAAACGAGTAAAAGCCACCTTTCCTCTGTAACTTCGGCTCAACCAAACTCTTCTGAATTCATGGAATTATCCGCCAGGGTTCCAAATCATTTTTTGACGATTATTGAAGAAAAGTACCAAAAATATATATTTACATACGCTTAGCATCGAGTAATTTTTACCATACCAAGGTCACGAAATTGTTACAAGAAAATAATCAACTCAACAAACCTTTATTTTTTTCGGTTTCAAGGTCCTCAAATTCCATCTAAAATAAATTAAAGTGATACTTTGAAATTATCTGCTGAGGGTTATATCCTCAAAATGAATGGAGAAGTTTGGGAAATGAGGACAATCGCGATGGCAAGCGGCAAAAACATTGCATTCAACCAACAGCTAATTTTAGTCTGCCATTTAATTTCAGTGTAAACATTGAAGTTGGTACAATTGCGGTACAGCGTGTGCGAACAAACATCTTCTTATCGACTCTAAAACACTGCTATTGAAAAGAAGTTCATACGAACGTGAAGCATAAATTTCTTTCAAATAACAAATGACAAGCGGTCACCATACCATAGCAAAATCGACCTTTCCATCCCCTGCAAGTTCTGCTGTGCTTGTCAAACTACATAATATAAGTAGTAGAAGTCTGGTAAGATGGGTCTGTGCCCAGTTCATGATCCAACTAATGCTAAGTGCTCCCAGGCGAAGTGTAAATGTCTTTGCTTGCTTATAAGAAAAATTCCACTGCCAGCTGTGATGTGCGGTCGATATAAGTTGATCTTTTCAAAAATTATCTCACTGAACTTGTGTTATGATCCTGATTTTGCGGTGCTCGGGAGAGGTGCCCTCCGCTCTCAACATGGAACTAGTTTGAATGCGGTAGACACAGCGATTTATACGTCTCAGTGAGGCCTTGATAAAACTAACAGATAACCAAACAATATTGATTTTGAGTACCCGACACAGTCCGCCCTTTCACGCTGTGATCTCATTTAACCTCACCGCAAAATTGTGTCACTTTTATCCTTTATCCCGCGCGGTCTTCAAGTAGCAGCGAGCCCTCGTTCGCTGTCATCAAACTCCAAGCAAACAAAGGATCATTGTTTTCTCAACGGTTTAGGGCTACAAGGAATTGAGCCGCTATTGTTCAGCCGCTGTCGTATGTCATGGACACGACCAAACTCAGCTCACTTCATCAACCACATTGAGACCTGTCTCATCCTTTTATCCTTTCTCCCTGTTTAATTCTTAATTATATTCCTTCCAGAGTAACGATAGAATTACATAAAAATAATTTCAAATATTACAGAAATATGGCGATACCTTTTACACATAAAATTGGTGTTTCAATATGGTATTAAATGGGTACCTTCCTGTACCAAGGCTTTTTAGACGTTGTTTTAAGCAACTACAAATAAAGAGCGGAATGAGAACTTTTTTGGGATGAGAAGGAGGAAGTTCTATATAGAACACAAAAAGCAGAATAAATGGAATGGCAATTTTAGAAATTTTTTCGTATTGTCAATCAAATTAACTGATGACCGATGTTTGTTACTGCCTTACCTAGGAGAACAGAAAAGCCAGGCATGATATCATTTCTTGAATATGCTTTTTTGCAGTTTCTCCTTGTTGTCATTTTAGTAAAGAAGACATCTTCGGCATTTGCCGTCGGCAAAGAGCATTAACCTTATCTCAAATTTGTATCGAAGTCAAAAATTTATCATTATGTATTTTACTTGAAACTGCCCTTAAATTCGATGAATTGATTTTTTCGATGGCCAAAACTAAACTTGCGGCTAAAGGGCTTGAAATACGAAATACATTCTTTTTTCAAAACAATTCATATACTTGTTCTCATATTATTGGTAAAATTTCCTTTTATAAGACAGTTTTTAAGGGGATTTAGCAACATTGTTGAAAATCATATTTTAAAGTAGCTCAGCGTCACCTTGTTCGTAATTTAATTCTAACTTTTGATTTATTTTGAGACTCGTTTTATTATAAAATTTCCCTTTTAAGAAAGCAAGTATTTCAAGATTTCTTTATGAAAAGCAATTCAAACTTTTTGCGCTTAAATCAAGTTGGAGACGACTAAAAGCTCAATTCCTTGAAGCCAAAAGAAATGCTGTAATTATTATATTGTGAAATCTTCATGTTTTCGGTGCAACCTTTTGCACCCAGCTTCAAGTGCTAAATCTCTGACTATGTTCCCACTGGTTCAAAAAAGTTCGGTGGGAGATTCAGTGGGATATCTAGATGGTTCCAGACCCTGATATAATCATTTGGCAAAAAAGCTCAAAAAACCCACTTCTTTCCAATTTGCATATACCGTAAATTCTCTTTTAAGCCCCTGGGCGGCTTATTATTTTTCAGCACTTTGAAGGGGGGCTTATAAATATTTTGTCATAAAGAGCCATTTTCAGTACTAAACTATTTTTTTTGTTACTTGCGAAATAAAAAACATCAAATCAGCCTTCTATATCAATAATATTGTCATCTTCGTCGTCATCAATTATCAATTCTAATATATCTTCTTGGACCATGTCGTCTTCTGAAATCGAGCATTCGAAAAGGTCGACTTCATCCCTCGGAGAACCAACGGCCTATAATTTTGGTAAAAGGCTCTCACATGGCCCCTGCTTGATACACATTTATTTTTTATTTCATATTAGCTTGATACTCTGCTTCAGTCTTCACTACATCCTTGAGACTTTTAAACAATCGAGAAATATAGAGAATATATGTTGATTAATATTTCGAGAAAATATGAAACATAAAAAGAGAAAAAAAGTTAAATAGGACATCAAAGTTAACATAATAGAGAAGGGATCGCTATGGCTTGGTATGGTTAGGTAGCGTTGGATAGGGTTGGCTAGTGTTGAATGGGATTGGAAAGGGATGGGTACGGTTTGGTAGAGTTAGATAGTGTTGAGTAGGGTTTAATAGGGCTAGGTAGGGTTGGAAAGGGATGGGTATGGTTGGAAAGGGCTGGGTAAGGTTGTGTAGGGTTCGATAGTTTTGAGTAGGGTTGGAAAAGGTTGGGTAGGGTTGGAAAGGGCTGGGTAAGGTTGTATAGGGTTCGATAGTTTTGAGTAGGGTTGGAAAAGGTTAGGTAGGGCCGGAAAGGGCTTGGTAGGGTAGGGTAGGGATGGAAAGGGTTGGGCAGGGTAGGGTTGGGTTGGAAAGGGCTGGACAGGGTTTGGTAGAGTTAAGTAGGGTTGGAAAGGGTTGGGTAGGCTTGAGTAGGGTTTGGTATTGTTGGGTAGGGTTTGTTAGGGTTGGGTAGTATTGAGATGGGCTGGAAAGGGTTGGGTAGGGTTGGAAAGGGCTGTGTAGGACTGTGTAGGGTTGGGTAGTTTTGAATAGGGTTGGAAAAGGTTAGGTAGGGCTGGAAAGGGTTTGGTAGGGTAGGGTAGGGTAGGGATGGAAAGGGTTGGGCAGGGTAGGGTTGGGTTGGAAAGGGCTGGACAGGGTTTGGTAGAGTTAAGTAGGGTTGGAAAGGGTTGGGTAGGCTTGAGTAGGGTTTGGTATTGTTGGGTAGGGTTTGTTAGGGTTGGGTAGTATTGAGATGGGCTGGAAAGGGTTGGGTAGGGTTGGAAAGGGCTGTGTAGGACTGTGTAGGGTTGGGTAGTTTTGAATAGGGTTGGAAAAGGTTAGGTAGGGCTGGAAAGGGTTTGGTAGGGTAGGGTAGGGTAGGGATGGAAAGGGTTGGGCAGGGTAGGGTTGGGTTGGAAAGGGCTGGACAGGGTTTGGTAGAGTTAAGTAGGGTTGGAAAGGGTTGGGTAGGCTTGAGTAGGGTTTGGTATTGTTGGGTAGGGTTTGTTAGGGTTGGGTAGTATTGAGATGGGCTGGAAAGGGTTGGGTAGGGTTGGAAAGGGCTGTGTAGGACTGTGTAGGGTTGGGTAGTTTTGAATAGGGTTGGAAAAGGTTAGGTAGGGCTGGAAAGGGTTTGGTAGGGTAGGGTAGGGTAGGGATGGAAAGGGTTGGGCAGGGTAGGGTTGGGTTGGAAAGGGCTGGACAGGGTTTGGTAGAGTTAAGTAGGGTTGGAAAGGGTTGGGTAGGCTTGAGTAGGGTTTGGTAGTGTTGGGTAGGGTTTGTTAGGGTTGGGTTGTATTGAGATGGGCTGGAAAGGGTTGGGTAGGGTTGGAAAGGGCTGGGTAGGACTGTCTAGGGTTGGGTAGTTTTGAGTAGGGTTGGAAAAGGTTAGGTAGGGCTGGAAAGGGTTTGGTAGGGTAGGGTCGAGTTGGAAAGGGTTGGGCAGGATAGGGTTGGGCTGGAAAGGGTTGGACAGGGTTGGGTAGTTTTGAATAGGGTTGGAAAGGGCTGGGTAGGCTTGGGCAAGGTTTGGTAGTGTTGGTTAGGGTTTGTTAGGGTTGGGTAGTGTTTATTTGGGCTGGAAAGGGTTGAGTAGGGTTGGAAAGGGCTGGGTAGGAAAGGGTTGCGCAGGGTAAGGTTGGTTTGGTAAGGGCTGGGCAGGGTTGGCTAGTGTTGAGATGGGTTGGAAAGGGTTGGGTTGGATTGGGTAGGGCTAGGTAGGGTTGGAAAGGGATGGGTAGGGTTGGAAATGGTTGGGTAGGTTTGTGTAGAGTTTGGTAACATTGAGATGGGTAGGGTTGGAAAGGGTTGGGCAAGGTTGGAAAGGGCTGGGTAGTGTTGAGTAGGGTTTAGTAGGGCTAGGTAGGGTTGGAAAGGGATGGGTAGGGTTGGAAATGGTTAGGTAGGTTTGTGTAGAGTTTGGTAACATTGAGATGGGTAGGGTTGGAAAGGGTTGGGCAAGGTTGGAAAGGGTTTGGTAATGTTGAGTAAGGTTTAGTAGGGCTAGGTAGGGTTGGAAAGGGATGAGTAGGGTTGGAAATGGTTGGGTAGGTTTGTGTAGAGTTTGGTAACATTGAGATGGGTAGGGTTGGAAAGGGTTGGGCAAGGTTGGAAAGGGTTGGGTAGTGTTGCGTAGGTTGGAAAGAGTTGGATAGGCTTGGGTAGGGTTTGGTAGTGTTGGGTAGGGTTTGTTAGGGTTGGATAGTTTTGAGATGGGTTGGAAAGGGTTGGGTAGGGTTGGAAAGGGTTGGGTAGGGTGGGGTAGGGTTGGAAAGGGTTGTGTAGGATTAGGTAGTGTTGAGTAGGGTTAGGTAGTGCTGAGTAGTGTTGAGATTTGTTTGAAAGGGTTGGGTAGGGTTGGGTAGGGTTGAAAAGGGATGGGTTGAGTCAGAAAGGGTTGGGTAGGGATGGGTAAGGTTGTTCAAAGTTGGGAAGGGATACACTTCATTTTTTTAACAACCCGTGAATTTAAGATCAGGCTGACTGTTCTTAATTCCGAGTAGGGTAGGGTAGGGTAGGGTAGGGTAGGGTAGGGTAGGGTAGGGTAGGGTAGGGTAGGGTAGGGTAGGGTAGGGTAGGGTAGGGTAGGGTAGGATAGTTGGGGTGTGGTATATGATATGATATGATATGATATGATATGATATGATATGATATGATATGATATGATATGATATGATATGATATGATATGATATGATATGATATGATATGATATGATATGATATGATATGATAAGATATGATATGATATGATATGATATGATATGATATGATATGATATGATATGATATGATATGATATGATATGATATGATATGATATGATATGATATGATATGATAATCGTCCCACACAGCGAGAAGAAATGAATATGTTACCAAACTAGGGCCCGAATTCCAATTATCGTGCAGCAGTTCGCATAGTAGCCATTCAATTCACATAGCTATAGCCAGACATTCCCGGACGATAGATAACAGAATCTGAATTGGGAAATTCCAATTAAGAAGGCTCTACATCTGTTCCAGCTCAGTCGGTGGTTTACGGCAAATCCTCATGAGAAAAAGAAAAGTTTTGAATACATGATTATATTACAGTTATTGACTGTAAAGAAAACTTGGTTAGGTATAGCAGCACCGCTTTCTGGAAAAAGAGTAAGTACTTTTTACCCCTTCAAATACTGTCTAGTCTCATTTATGCTAGGCCTCCACTGCTCATTTTTGCTAGGCCTCAACTGCCCATATTTGCTAGGCCTCCACTGCTCATTTTTGCTAGGCCTCGCTTGTATTTCCTGTGCAATTATCTCCTTCTACCTGCAGGAAATTTTTAAGTGCCCTGTTAAATTCCTCTTAACCTGCTGACCATACACTCGTTTTTTTAAGAACAATTTATAAGAACATGAGCCTCAAAAATGTTCAAAATTTTGGAAGAGATTTAGAACAAGCTGAAGCTGAGCTAATGAAAAAATGCAATTCTGAACAACGTTTAATCTTTGTTCCGAGTGTGGGTGCCTTTTCGGTGAATATTCAAATTTGTCGCCGCATGAAAGTTGTCTCACTTGCTTTGTTGGCAAATGAGGCCTGAACACCTCCCTAGAGTGAAAAGCTTGCAATCGCACTGCTTACACCCTATTAATTTGAAAACAAATCAAGAACAATCCAGCTTCAGATTTTCGACAGAATGAAGAACATTCAGCCTGTACTTAAATTTACTGGTTCTTATATGTGTATTCATAAACAATTGAGAAAACAGGCACTCCTCCGCCCTCGCATGTATCCCACTGTAAGATATCAAAAAAAAGTAAAATCGTGACACGCTTTAACAGGAGACAGGCATAAAAATCATGCAACTTGACATCTTCAGTGAATCTATAATTTGTTTCTGCGTACGAAAGTAAAGTGATCAGAATTGGTTGACAAATATTTCAAGGAGCCTCGAGAGCGTGAAACGGTTAATACACACCAATGCATTCATTGGCGAACTTCAGCAAATCTGTATCTCACACACTTATTATCATGAAAAAAGTCTATAAGAATATTGAGGATCAAAATCTCTGAAATTTGAGAATAATTTTAGAATAATGCAATGCTCAAGCTTTACCAAGAATTAAATTTTTTGTTTGTTTGAGTTTTTTTTGAAAGCAAAACAAATGCGAGTTTCACGCTATATGTCTTGAAACAGAATAGCCTTGGAGTCATTAAACTATAAAACAACGCGATTATATATTATGTTGCTTAGGAATAATATGAGAATAATCTTAAGCTCAAAACGAAATATAATTAAGAATATTGAGGCTTAGCAAAAAATACATTTAGTAATGCTTTGATACATCAGTGCTCCATTTTTGTCAATGTAACTTTGCCCATTTTTCATCATTTTCCAAGCAAAATATCTATGTTTTCCCATTCTCTCAATGGGAAAAACGCCATTCCCAATCTCTAATACTTTTACAATCCAACGATTGTTGCAATGTTCACCATAGCAGAAGGCATCTTGCCTACACTAGTTAAAGGAAATTACAAAGTGGGCGATATACCTGGATGAGGAAATTAAAAAATAAAGATGTCCATGTGGACTAGTTATGATGAAAGGAGGACAAGGCACGATCTAGTAGTTGTTAAAGATGCTAAAGATGTTTTGTATTGCTAAATGAATTTGTATTGTTAAAGATTGTTAAATGAATTTAGTAAACAAGATATGGTACCTTTTATTACAAAAGTGAAATTCTATTTTCAAATAGTGGAAAACTTCAAATTCGGACGGTAGAAATTTCAGACCACGATGAATTGCAAACGTAAAATTTATTAACGTATGAAATTAGGGCGTTGTATATAACCAGTCTTTAAACGTGCTTGTCTCCAGCAAGCAATACTTTAAAAGTACAAAATTCACCATCTTTTTAATATATCTAAATGATAAGTTGAGTTGTGCATTTACTGTCAATTGAAAGCTGCCAATTAAGCAACACAGACACCATTGAATAACAGCCAAACAATTAGAAACACGGATGGAAAAGTTTAAAAGGCTGCTCAAACCCATTCCTGATAATTTGCTTAATTTCTGAGGCTTTTATTTATGAGAAAATATTTTAAACAGTTCTCACATGAAATGATAACTTGAATGATGTTACAGTAAATCAATATTTTATAGCTATTTAGATTTGCCAGGACACAAAGCATGTTAGTCAAGAAAAATAATTTCATAGCTACAACTGGCTTATATCCTCACGGTTGTCCAACAGCCAGTTTTCAATTCACAACACATACAATGTTTATTCAAGCTAGAAAGCTGACGTCAGCAACGTCCCTTACAGCGTTAACCCGGATGTCGCGTTTAACAAGGATGGATAGAGACAGCAATAGATTCGCCCGAGAACTTCTAGATTCATTTTTCTTCTTTTTTAGTTACGTAAATAACTGCACGTGTATTTCGAATATACCGCATATCCTTCTCTCCCAGCAAATCCCATTTTGTAAATGACATCACTATAGGAGAAGCATCTTTTCAATATGACAAACTACATTAAAGTGACCACTTCAATGCCTGAATTTTGCGTTTAAAGTTTGGCTGGTTGACTAGAGGCAGCACAATTCCTTTATTCAATGGCAGCGCCAGCCACTAGGATCTGGAGTCAGAGGAGGGGGAATAAAAACTTTCAGGCCACGCCCTTTTTACTGGGCGTTGCGCGAACTAGTGATAATTACTTTCCTTCAAGGCCAGCTACTAACTCTGTACTACCATTGTGCTGAAATGAAAATGAATTAAATAAAATAGCATACTCGAAAGATATAAACTGAAGTAACAAAACGTTCCCTGAATGCAGAGGGTGTTTTTAAGGGAGTTTTAAAAGAAATATGGAGAATATTGAAAAGACAGCGCAGACAAAGTCTAAAATTATAATTAAGATTCTAAAAATACCAAAAAAAAGAATTAGGCAGGAATTCGTCATCAGACTCAACTTGCGACGATGATGCATTTGAATAGACGCCCTTCCTATTGAAATGAATCCGAAACCTTTTCATCTCTCATTACCGTCCCACTATATCTAAATGCTTCGATATTGAGTTTCACAAATGCGTCGTTTGCCGCCCCATGGAAGAGTTAATATCTTTTTAAGTCTAGTAAACCTTGTAACTACTTATTGCTAGAAATATCAAACTTCGCGTAGCAGACAAAAGGTTACAGTTTGTTACAGAAACACAGAACACTCCACAAATTGTGTAATGCGCACCTTTTAACCAGAAATAAATTCATGCGAATATTGCGACTCAAAATTGCCAAAATTTTAGAATAAGTCAAGAATACAAGACAATCTGAAACTTCGTCAATAGAATGACTTTTTGTTTATCAAGGTACGGTTTTTTCTCGAGTTTACCTACCCCAACCGACCTAATCAAGATTTTTAATAATAGCGGGGCTCAGAGTAGGCTGTCCGCCGGATTCTGTGAATTTTGCAATGAGTATAAATACGAAGATAGAGTTCAAAGCAAAGACAAGGCAAAACAGCGACGAGAATCCAATGTAATTCAAAATAAAGTTAATAAAACGAATACTAATATTTCGCCCGGCCCGGGCATACAGGGCTTCATCAGAGTAAATGAAACGAACGAGTAAATAAAATTGAAATAATAATAATAATAAAGTAGTCTCTTCATTTACAGTTGGTTTGAGCAATAGTTAATATACATAGATAATTACGTAAAATTAATTAATACCAACTATTTATATACGTAAAAAGAAAAAAGTACCATATTAATCTACCTATTTACATATTTTACAGCTACATTTGTCTCCATTCCAGGCATGTATGCCTTTTCTAAATTTGAATCATAGAACGCTTTCCACATTTATTATCGTATCAGGCAAGGCTGGATAGTGATACTTGATTGATCGATGTTACTCACAATACAAGTTGAGGTATTCTTATGGAATTGAGGTATTCCTACAAAAGATTACGTTTACGTTTTTTGCGTCTTTCGCGGCCAATTCACTACCCTGAGTACCAAAGCCACCAAATTTTGAGCACTTTAATAGAGAACCAGGAACCTTCTTAACCTATGTTTTCTAATTTCTGCACTCGAATTTACGTGGCAGAATATACATTTACGTGCTTGATTATGGCCCCCATTACACATTGATAATTGATTCTTGGCCCCCATTACACATTGATTTTTAACTGTGGGTCCCCAATCACATTGATTCTTAACTGTGGGCCCCCATTACACATTGATTATTGATTGTGGGTCCCCAATCACATTGATTATTAATCGTGGCTCCCCATTCACATTGATTATTAATTGTGGGCCCCCATTTACATTGATAATTGGTTGTGGGCCCCCA